CTAGAGTTTCTCAACAAGCAGCAGCCTTCAGGAATGCCACCGCACAAGTTAGTTCTAAAAAGGGGTGCGTTGATAATGCTATTGCGCAACCTTGATCCAGCCAACAGCCTACTCAATGGCACACACCTGGTGGTTGATGAACTCCATACAAACTTCATCATAGCTACTATTGTAACCGGATCCAGGAAAGATAGCAGGGCAGTGATACCAAGGATCGATATGGCACCGAGCGAGACACAGCTGGCATTCATACTCAAGAGAAGACAGTTTCCGGTTCTTATTTCGTTTGCGATGACAATCCACAAGTTACAGGGCCAGTCATTTGACAAGGTAGGTGTTTATCTGCACAGCTCTGTCGAGAGTGGCTATGCAAACGGTCTAAGGGTGTATGTTGCTGACAATGGAGACCAAGGAAAGCATGAGAATGGTAAAGTATACACAAGAAATGTTGTGCATACTAAGCCATTATAATGAAAGTAAATTTATTGATTTGTAACTATACAACAATTAATAGAAAGAAATGACCTGATGTTGCAGTTATATTCAAAAGAACTGCTTTGATCTACTATCCATTCATACACCCGTTTTGAAAGACAGGATAGCGCAGCTAGTCTTTTGTAAATATCTGTGTCACTTGTACGTTGCTGTACTTAATATAACCAAATCATGCTTGGCAGATACCAAGACCCATCAAAATACTAACACATCTCATTCTATAGTAATCAATTCTACCTTTTGATGTAATATGTTAGAAAAACTTGACAAACAATTGAAATGAAAAAATTTAGCAGATTCGTTAAAATTCCTCTGAGCTATGTATTTAGCCTTATTCTTGTATTGCTTGTACGAAATATATATTCCTGTGGTTTATAAGTTTTATTATAATATTCATCCGGACAATTTACGAGCGTCAACAACCAGCTATAAAAGAACTTGGATAATAGTCACAAAATTAAATTTTCTGATGTAAATCTTAAAATATTTTGCTATGTCGTCTGAATCAGATGTAAAATTATAAGTTAAATTTATTAATTGTTATAAAACTGCTTAATCCGATCTGAGGCATTAAGATACCTCTATAGAATATGCACAACAAAAACATTATTAAATGATATTACAATGGACTTGTAAAGTCTGGTGATGTTTAAAAGTTCTTTTTGGTGTTATTTGTTTAGATATTTAAATGCTTAAAAGGACGGTGGAAGTAAAATAAAGAGATAACTTTGTTAGTGTGGATTTCTTTTTTGTTTGTGCACAACTGATGCTTAAAAAGTAATTATTATGGTACGAAAAGTTTTGTTAGTTGGTGCTTCATTTTAATTTGCTACGCCTTTTTTCATACGATGATCTATTTGATGCGTCTCAAATATCCCAACTTGATTATCTATCGTTGCTTTTTCTGTGCTTTACAGATCGATATTAACACCTGTGTTTCATCGCAGTGAAAACGGTTCACCACCTTCCTGCAATAATATCCCACAACACACCTCAAATTCTTAAAAATCAGCTTAAAAACGATCCCTTGTAATACCTGTATGTCTTAACCTGGAGACAAGCTTGTTCTTTTGCAGCTGGCCGATACATGTTGTGCCATATTGTGCAAACATACAGTTGAATGGATAGTATGTGAAGTATTTGATGTATCATTTGGTCGAATACTGCACAAGAAGTGAGGTCGTAAATTTATTGCCTTCAAAAATTTTCATCAAAACCCCCAAATAAAGCATTGAGTTGGATGGAACGCGACAAATTCTCTGAGCTAATCGACTTGATGAATCGTACTTTAAACGAAGACAACGATAATATTTACAGCTTGACGAAGGAGAATGTGGAGGAGGCGTTGAAAGAGCTTTTTAAGAAGCAGAAGAGTCCTATGGAGTATTTGCGATCGTTTAAATATAAAAATGTGGAAAAGTTGCTCTTGCGGTACAGGGCTCTGCACCATTACAGGGTTGATGGGCATGAAATAAGCGATCTTTCCAGTTTTCATAGTTTTAACACCAACCAAATAATTGACCGAGTTCCGCCTGCCACAGCTGTAAAGCCTGGCAACTTAAAAAGGTATTTTCTGCCCGCGCCTGTTGTGCAATTTTACCTGGTTAAAACCATGAGGGAGCACGACGCAGCGATAACCACGATATTTATAGAAAGAACCAATCGATACTTCCTTTCGGGGGATGAGAGCGGCTGTATAAAGCTGTTTAATGTACGGACAGGACATTTGATCCGGGAGTTCTTTTTACACTTCGGTGGCATCAACGACATAAATTTTAGCCATTGCGGAACGTACATGATATCATCCGACAGCGGCGGATGTGTAAAGATCAATAATTTGCTGACCGAGAAAACGGTTGTTCACCAGTTTAACTCCAGCATTCTGCTCGTTGAGGCGCTAGAGGATGGGATGATTGTGCTGGAGAGCTCAGGCATTCTACATAAAATCGATAGAAAAAGCCGTACACACATTAACAACATCATTCCGAACTGTGAGGGTGCTGTTGGTGCGGTATGCATCAGCGAGGGTGCCAACATCCTCCTTGTTGGTGGGTCTTTTCCCTTTTTGCTCCTTTTCAATCTCAAAGATTTTAAAAACGAGGCTGTTATTCTGGACACAGAAGGATATACTATTTCATACGTGTGTGCAAGCAGAAGAAGAACCATTTTTATGTGTTCCTCATTCTACAACTACCTGTTTTACTTCGAATTTAACGTGGGAAAGGGCACCTCGAACTACAAGAAGAACAACAACGCGTATTTCTGGAAGAAGTACCGCATACAGATCGATTTGGATGAGTACGATTACACGGAAAAGATAGTTTTTCTTAATGATGATAGATATTTTATCACCACTGCGACAGATAATAAATTACGGGTGTTCAAGAACAGAGAAATGATAAGGACCCTCAACAATGTGAACGGAAATCTTCTTGCCCATCCCATTTTTAACGTTTTCCTCGTGTTCAACTATGAAATTAAAATCTATGACGTTGATTTGAACGTACTGCAGACCATAAAATTGGACTTTTTCATCACAGAGATATCATTCAGTGATGACGGTCATACTTTTATTGTAAGTGATGAATTGGGGAATATTTACATGTACTCGTTGTTCCCAACGCTTCCTAAATCAAGTCTTAATGAGTATGTGGTTAAGGAGGCGAATATCCCTGTGAGTGATGTGGAGCTGGCGTGTTTGGAGAGTCTTGAAATATATTCCATGGATATTTCCAAGATTAAGAAGAAATACTTCTATGAAGATAAGAGGGAAGAGAAGAAATCGGAGAGCACAGCGAGTGAGATATCAGAGGATTACACTGAGGATCTGGGCACAGATTACAGCTCGCATTTTGAGGATGACAGTGACATGAGCAGCGGAAGCGATGATAGGAGTATCAAAGAAATTAGAACAGCAGGCAGCAGGGCAAGAAATAACCTGATCAACGTCATCACAGATGACAACTATGAGATACCCATTAAGCGGAATAGACGGATCATTAGCGATGAAAGTGATTCTTTTAGCATAGTAGCCAAAAAGAGAGCTAGAGCTAGGTCACGTAAAAAGACAAAAAAGGTAAATGATGACAGCACAGACTCATGCTGCAAAAAAAGAACGGCAAAAAAGAGCAAGACGGTGTCAGAAATTACTTCTGAACATGAGGGCGATACGACCACATTTTCTGATCTTAGCAGCCTGAGTGATTCATTCTAAGACTCAAGCCAAAAATGAGGTGAATGTGTCACAGCGTACAATAATCATAATAGAACAAACTAATTTCGAGCGTTTGCGTCTTTTTGTTTTTCCGCTAATTTCTTTCCGCTCATTCCCAGGATTTGCGTTTGTGTGTGCAGGTAGTGAAAGGGCTCAATCTTCATACCGGTATGATAGCTCGTCGTTGAAGAGTTTAAAACATATTTTACGATTATACCATGAGATTAGCGCATACCAAATCAATGATAATGCATTACGGAATTTCTGTTCAGGCAATGTGTCTTATACGCAGTATATTGTCGTATCATGCCCAGCATTAAAGTACGGTGTTATAATGATTTGTGATTGTTCTTAGGTTCATAGTCTACCCGCTTCTTAGTGCAAACTGCCATGCTATCTTTTATTTGCTAGTGAATACTTCAGATAAATTACGGTTGTCCGTACTCTTTCATCATGTGTAAACTTTGTAGAAAGTGCAATACCTGAATGCATTCGGACAGAGAAGTGTGTTTATTTTGGTGTTTGGGAAGATAAATAAACGTGCTTTAAATAGTAAAATATGGACACACCGAATGATATACCGGCAAAATAACAGGTAATTAAACGGTGATCATTTTATATCAAAATCCAAGAATTTACGTTATTACAACAATAGGTTTAATTAGCTGTGGCTCTCAGTGCAACACAGGAAGTTGTTGGAGATGGGCTTGATGAGTGTTTGTAGTAATAAAATAATCAAGTCTTTAAGAGAAGAACGAAAGATTCGATCGAACAATAATAACGTAAATAAAGGCAGTTGAAAGATCAACATGGGAGCTATAACTGTCGTTAAGGATGTATTCATTCTTTAGATGTCGTATTAAAAGTTTTTATAGTTATGTATAGCTGGGTTACTTATCAGAATTTTATTTATCACATACGATGTACTTCGAGCATGTAAATAGCTTACCCTTGCCCACATAAATGCTGATTATAACCAATTTACTAGCAAAGTAATCAAACCGTTTAGTTCTCTTTCGCCACATGAGATTATAAAACCATGATTTAATTTACGGTACGGTTATTCGATATAAGTGAACAAATCCATCGTCTTTCAAGTCAAACATTACGTGTTATGGAACAATGATTCATTGCTATTATCATACGTATTACCTCGTTGTGCCAATATTAAACAAAGAATCCTCTTTCAGTAGCGAATAAGATCACCAGCGCTCATCCAAATAACAAGGTATAACTTATTTGACATAACACTTTGCCAAGGACTAGCATCTGTCTAATACACCGAATGCCTCTCAATTACACTTTCGCAGCTGCTGTTTCTTGTTACCTTATAAAAATATTCTACCGAATCCTTGCTGACCAGATTCAGAAATTCTTCATCATGCGTAATTATTATGAGTTGCAAATTGCTCATTCTTTCCAGATACTTCAAGGTTCGTGCTAACGACTCAATGTTGCTCTGGTCCAAGTTTGTGGTTGGTTCATCAAGTGTGAGCATATTGCAATTGCAAGAGAAAGTGATGGACAGTGCCAACCGGAATATCAGCGACGCAATCACCTTTTGACCCGCTGAGCACCGTCCCCGCATCTCCAACTCAACATCATTTTTGTACATCACCAGCTTGTACGAATACTTACTACTCGTGATCTCAGCTTTCAGTTCAATCCTATCGATATCGTTTCCTCTGTACGTATTCGACCATAAGTACTTCAAATTTCTGTTCAACTCTTCAATCTTGTTCTCGTAGTATTTAAGAACGCTTTTCTCTATTGCTTTGATCGACTTATCCAGGTCTTTTAACATAATGTCCAGTATCTTAGTATGTGTGTAGATCTCCGAGTAATCTGGACCTTTTTCCTCCAGCTGCAGTGTATATTCCTTTACATTTTGTGTGAGCTGCTTGTTTGTTCCTTCTCGTGTGTTGATCTCCTTCTCAACACTTTTTATTATTTCATCGGTGCCTATGTCGCTTAGCCCAAGCAACAAAAGTATCTCTTTAACCTTGTCTGAGTCGTTGATCGCCATCATTTCCTGTTTCTTTTTTTGTATGCTCAATTTTATGCTGACAATTTCCTCTTTTATCACGTCTATTCTTTCCATTTCCTCCTTGTGTTTCAGATATTCCAATACCCTGTTTGTCATAAACTTGTCATTTTCATAATCACTGAGCACTTTGCTAAGATCCAATATCTGTTTGAAATACGCTTCCTCGTTGAAACTCTGATAAATCACATTTGCTGAACTTTCAATCATGCCCAAGTAACCTTCCAACTCCCCAATTTTTTGTTTCAGCAGGTTCATTCTGGCAGTCTCACCAATTAATTCTGCTTTATCCTCCTCTAACTTGCCGATCAATCTTTCCTTCTGCTTTAACTTCTCAAGTTTATCCTCGTTCAACCTAGCAATCTTTATTTCCAATTTTTTAATATTGTTTCTCAGCAAAACATCCTTTTCATATTCTAAATTTTGCATTAGCGCCACCTCTAAGCCTTTGATCTCACGGTTGTAATTTTCGATTTCTTCTTTTATCTTTTTTACATCTATTATTTCACGCAGGTCCTGCTTTATGCCGTGCAGTTCAATTTCAAACCTGTTCGTCCTATCTAAAATGCTATAAAGCCCTGTTTTGCATTCCTTATGAGGACTTGCCATCGTATCTGTGCACAATTTTTTCGAATATTTACAAGTTGCGCAGAAACTATCATCGCCATATTCCACTTCTCCAATCCCTTTGATCTCCCGCAATAAATTGTTAAACTTGTTGAGGACAGCATTTTCTTTCTCATCTTTTTCAACCTTTTCCATCAATTTCTTGTATTCCTCCCTTTTTTCATTTTCTTTCTCTGGTATTTTTTCGATGACGTAATCTAATTTGGCAAGATACGTGGTCAATTCGTTGTTAACGAATGGTTTATTGCAAAGTACACACGCATTTCTCTTTTCGCCAAGCTTTTTCAGGTCCTTGTAAATGTGGGCAGCGTTCTTATTCGATGAAATGGCAGACTCCAATTCTCGGAGTGTGCTATACGGTATTTCCACAAGATCACATTCTTTTAATTCTTCAAAGAACCTCCTAACGTGCTCATACTCAATTTTACTTGCATCAGCATTCTTATGATCAGCCTTAAGAATCTCATTGAGTTCTTCGATGTTCTCACAGGTTAGTTTTTCTTCTCCGTTTCCCGATAAATAATTGATGTTAAGGTCCCGCATCCTCGATAGCACGGTCGACATTGCAGCTCTGTTGGCAAATATGCCCTGTTTCATCAATTTAAATGCTTTTATCTCTTCTCCTATCTTTTCTATGCATATACCATCATCTATACCTGTATTATCACTTAAATACTGCTCAATTTCATCTTTACGTTTGGACATTCTTATCTGCTCCACGTACCCGTCCATATCTCTGTGTATTGCATTGACTGTTTCGCTCTTCGAATCTCGTAATGCTTTCGCTTCGTTTATTCTAATCTCCAAATCATTGGTTCCAAATTTACTCTTTTCAGTGTTCTTTACAGCATTGGTATTTGCCCTTAGAGCATATTCCAGACTGTTTTCCTCCCTGCTTAGCGCTTCTAACTCCTTTTCTAGTTCTTTAGCATCATTATCCGTTTCTGATACGGTTCGGTCCCGTTCAATAAGAATTTCTCTAAATCTTTCATAAAAAGTCCGCATCGAACGCACCACACCTTTTTCGTTACTCAAGTCATCGCTATTGTCAAATATTCTGAGGTCACAAACATTTTTATGCATGTTTATACTCCTGATATCCTCAATGAGCGCTTTCTTCTTGTACACGTACTCATCTTTCGTTTTTTTTATTCTTTCGGCCCTCTCCTGCTCTTCTTTAAATCTTGCATGTTCCTTCTTGACCCGCTCCAGTTCATTCCTTGCTTTACTTTCTGCTTGCTCATCTAACATATAATCTCTATACTTGTCCACCACCTCGTCCGCAATTATCTCCATCGATTTAGTGCTCGTATTTCTCAGCCTAACGTCCAATACAAGCAATTTCTCACTTTGTGCGCGTATTTCCTCCATAATTCTCTGTTGGGCACTCCTCTTCTCGTTCAATACCCGCAACTTGCCCTCCAGGTTGGAAATAGTGCCACGGTTGTTCATAAGATCCTCGTTCGCACGCTCTAACCTGGCGAGCAGCTCCTCGCGCTTCTTCTTGGCCTGCAGGGCGAAGTTCAGTTCCTGTAACTTCATTTTGAGCTGCATACCTTTCTCTTTTCGTACATTTTTCAGGTTTTCAATTGCTTTAATGTACACCGTCGAGCAGAAGATATCATCCATCTTTTTCTTAAAATTGGCTGGCTCGCTCAATGGCCAGGTACTCTCCTCCTGATGACAGAATATTACGTGGTCAAGAAGCGGCTTGTTGGTGTTCAACACCATGAGCATCTGCTTGTCAATATCTGCAGCTTTTCCACTCAACGATTTTATTCTTTTTTTTATTCCTTCCACGTTGTTATTCGCTCCATCATCTTTTTTCCAGCCCAGCGCATCGCCCAGTTCCTCGTTATTACACAGATTTTCCATGTTGTTTCCATACGATTCGCTAGCAACATCGTTCACGATCACTGAGAAGACGTTTTCGGTGTTCTTTTGTTCAATTTTTGATTTGCGGTGCGTAAGGCTCAGTGAACGGGAAACAACGTATCGATCGCACAATTTCAATTTTATTTGTGCATTCGTGTCGGTGGAACTGTTTAGCATCGGATCATAGACGAATGCACCGCCACGTGACATTGGAGGCAGGTCGCCGGTGATTGCGTAGCGCAATGCCTCGATTATGGTCGTTTTGCCTGTACCATTTTCGCCCAGTATGAGTGTCATCGGAAAGAATTGTATAACATTGGATGTGTTTGGCGAATATGAGCGTATGCCTCTTATCATAAGCTTATTGAGTATCATTCAGGGGCACTGCGCCATCAATTTTTTTGGTTTGCCAACAAAAATTTTTGAGCAAGATGTAGAAATCACGTCAAGCAAGGAATGACATGACAATGCTGGCAGATGATGCCAGTTCGTGTAAGAATAAACCAAAAAGCTGGCTGGAGGAATCGGTGCTCAATCCGATGCTATTCTATGAGAATATGCCAAAGTATGCTATTGCCAATCAGAAAATTTCTTCTGAACACAACTGATCGGGTGTTAACGTATCATTTGTATCTGCTGCCACGAATAGATCACAATTCTTTAGTACGCTGTGTTTGGTGAAGAAACTGCTGTAACGCCAGCGCGTCCATTTCTATGCAGTGATTTAGCGCTGTGTGAACGCATCAATGGAGGTGTTGTAAAGAACAAACACACTGTTCCTGAACAAAAACGAAACATCCTGCACAGATTGTTCGGTATGGAACACTTTGTTAGTCAATCATCGTGTACTCACCTAGGTGAACAACAAGCTTTCTACAAAAATATTTTAATTACTGCACACAGCGATCTACCTGGCATTACTCGACATGATTTTCGTGGTGTATTGGCACCTACCGCAGTTTGTTCAGCCCTTAATCAGCAGAGCGAACTTGAATGCAGAAATAAAATGATAGTTGGTTACAGCTAAAAATGCTACTTAGCACCCATCAACCAAATAAAAACTTTCCGTAAAAACCATGTTTAACTGAAATGCTATTTCTGATCACGAATAAAAACCGTTTCAATTCCTTCTCCCAGGACCAACAAACGGCTCCCAAGAATTTCAAACGAATTCACAACCCTCAAATATAACCTATGTAAAGATACAATCTCTAAGTTTAGGTCCAATACAAACATTTGCTTGTTTTTGCACAGGATGTAAATCCTATCAATGTCTATTTTTACATCAATTACCGGCGAGTTGGCGATCACCTTCTTGTTCATTACCCTGTTACACCCAATATCAGCGATCCTAAGCGTGTGATCATCACCAACAGAATACAATTTCTGATCATTACATGCTATCTTGAGTATGGCGTTGCTGTGTGCCTTCAGTTTGCGAATCACTTCCATGTTCTGTCCTATTGCGCGTATGCAGCCGTCTGTGCCTGCTAGCAACAGATCTGCGCCAACGCACACCATGCTGAAATTCAGTACTTGTGTATTCACAGATTGCAGCACTGCAAGGCTCATTGTGAGCTTATACACCATCCCGCTAGAACTACTCACATAAACATGGTCATTCATTGCTATCGATAAAATCCTGTTCTTTAGCTTTAAGCTTCTTTCCTCAAGCAGTAACCCGTTTTTAAAGAATATTTTGTAGACATACGAGTCATTTGTGCAGCAGTAAAGATAAGTTGAGCGTTTGTGCCTCTGCACTTTGATGTCATTAACCTCACCTTTCAGTCGTATCCTGTCCACAAGCGTGTAATTCTTCAAGGCAAAAACGTTGCCTTCAAAGTCACCTACGAACTGAACACAATCCGACACGCACGAGCAATTGATCAGGCTGTTGGTCAGAATAAGGTCTGCATCGTTTAAATAGTCCTTTTCGTATTTTATCAATTTAAAAAAGGTCATGTTTTGCCTTACAAAACTGAAGATGTGACCGTTGAAACTCCATTTTTTGGGTCTTGCACCGGTACGAACGCTGATTTCGCCTATAAAACTGTAAACTACAAATTCTGATGAGCGGAACCCGCATGTCACAATCTGCCCGTCATGTATGTAAATTCCCTCAAGAAACACGCTATCGATAAACTTCCGGTAGACCATTCGTGTAGTCTCATCCAAAAAATAGATATACCCGTCCCTGGAACACATAACCACCCATCCGTTGCTTTCAACTATTCCTGTAATCGCATCATCAGAGATCTTGAGCAATTCGTTTCTGTAAAAAAGTATGCCGGTACGGCACCCGTAAACATCCCTGCCCAAGGACACGATCTTCCTGTAGTGGAATATTGTCAGTTCATTTCTCATATCGAATTGAACTATTCTATCGTAGAATGCAAATTTCACATGGAATTCGTCTGAATACACGCTAAAGTATCCGCTTTTGACATTGATTTCGATGGCAGACGTATAGTATTCGCTGATACCTGCCACGTCAAGTTCTTCCCGTTTTATTCTCCTAATATTTGCTGTCTCCATCTTACTATTCCTGTCTATCTCTGTATTTATCCCGCGCTCAATTCCACAGTACAGACCTGTTGACGTGTTTCTGCCGCCTGAGGTATAAATATGCCCATCAACACTTGATTTACACCTATGTTCCCCGTAGTTCCCTTTTCCGACGAACATCTCACGTATTTTCATTTCATTGTGCTCCAGCTTGTCGATATTGCTCGTTGTTGCATGTACTTCCGTGCCATCGCCCTGCCCGGTCGCATTTATACGTTCACTTGCGCCCATTCCCTTCTCATAAACGTGCTTTTCAGCATTCCACAGCAACCAAATCTTGTCTTTGAAGCGTAGCACCATCATTCCAGGTTTGAGATAAAACTCAACGATGTCCTCTTCTACGCCCGACAAATCATACAGCTCTGTACCGTTGCAGACAATCTGACACTTCTCATTGAGCAAGAACACATCTTGCCCCGATACGAATGTACGATCAGTGCTTAAGCACCCAAATTTTTTTTCCTTACACACCACCAATCCACCATTTTTCAACCCGACAAGAAGTCTTCCACGATAAAAAGCTGCGCTGCACAAAGATTTATACGGAAAAGAAAATTTCATGCCATTAACAATTACGTTTCCGCATTCTGTAAGCGCAAAATAGTTATCTGCATCTTGTAAACCGCACCAATACACGCTACCTCTTAGTTCAACGTGCAATATCCTTGTGTCTGTGAGATCCTTGATTAAAATAACAGAGCGGTCTTCAGAGCATGCCAGTATGGAATTGTTGACGCAAGAAATGTGCGTAACGGTACCATCGAACAGTTTTTTACCAAATCCGTTCGTAATAACTCGTCCGTCTGTTGTTCCAATGATCGAGGTGACAGGTACTGTCCTTTGTTTTGTTCTATTTTCATGGTATCTCCCACTGCTAGGCATTTCTTGTGCGATGAACGCTCTTCTGATCAGCGTTCCGGTGGTGATACACTCATCAAATACGAAGATTTTACGGCGATTTTTGTACAAAAACCTATCGGTGAGAACGTACAGGGATGATTTGACGATTAAAACACTCATAATACGTCCTTCTACCGGCATTTCTCCAAGCAAAGCAAATTTATGTGTGCCAGATGTATTCCTCAAATTGTTAGGTCGGATAATCCACCGATGTTTCTGCACGTAGTACCTGAACATGAACAATTTTTTATGCCTAGCTCGTTCTTTTTTACCAGCCACTTCTCCGCGAACGGTTTTCCTGTGATTCCATTCGTCCACCATTTCGCACCGCAAACTGTACAAAACTTGTAGCATGTCAATTCCGCACAGGATCACGTACCGCTTGTAGCAGATAATGTGGTAAATTGCGAACAAAGATCTGTGGTGCTCTTTTCCGTCTATGAACAGAACATTTGCCTTGCTATAATACAGCCGCGTATGATGTGTGATGCTCAGGACCGGTGCAACGATCATAAGAAGGGATTTTTAATACTTTGGTTGAAAACGGCATGTTACCGAGACAAGATGCGGCAAAAATCAAGCAATACAGTGTGAACGATTGCATGGTTATTGCCATGTTTAGCATCACAACACGTATCAATGATAAGATCAGTGTTGCTTGACTACACACCTACGAGGGAGGTAGCTCTACCAAATTTTACCTGAGTAACGTTTTGGAACAGATAAACGCATCTAGGGAAATGAAAATCGAATCTTTATGTCCGTACGTTTTCTTCGCTTTTACAATACGTCCGTTTACCTCTTCGTTCTGCTCACCCAGCGCATTTTCTTTTAATTCGCTTCTTACCTACCACCACGATCAATCGCACAAATTACCACTGATACAATCCAAAATGTAACTCATTTTTATCATGTATCGTGAAGTATGGCTAGAAACACTACCAAATACCTGAACAATACCAAGAGAACTGCTTTTCGAGTTAGGCATCAACAGAGCCTTTTGCACAGATCAATCTGGAAGGATGCCAGTACCAGAGCAATTCAAATTAAGAATACTTACGTCTAACAAATGGTTTACATCGGGAATCGCTCCTAATATCTATCAAAATAAATTCGATCAATCTGCGTGTTATATGATTTACCTATTCAACTTCATCTTTCTTTGTTTATATCCTTCAGTGAACTAACAAAAATGCAATGAGAACTCACAAAAACCTCTTCCGAGTATTTCAAAGACACGCTTTGATCCGTTAGTTCAACCAGTTGAAATGATTGCGTGTCGTTTCCCAGCGAATCGATGACCGTACCAAAACATTTGTGCATGCTATTATATACGTATGAGCCGTTGATAGGAATGCGCCCACAATCATTTTTTACAAGCACCGCCTTGTGGATATGCTCTACCTTCCCCAAACGCTCCATGATAGTTCCTGATTCGTTTCTTTTATTTGCAAATTTTCACAGTAATGATTCCTTTGTGTTTATCACGTGATATATTAATGGTAAATTTGATCACAGATTACGTTTTAATTATTTGTGACTTGCATTTGATGCGTGCGCAGCGCTGATAATAAAATACTTTGGCTCAGAACTGAGTATAAACCTGCATGAATGTGCTAGCGGCCTGTACATCTTCAGGATTGGTGCAATGCTTGGCAAGAGAATACTTAATCCTTGGTGTACTCTGTGGCGAAGAGAAACAGAAATGTAAAGGCTAAATTGTACATTGAGCGCGCAAAGAAAGAATGGTGAGTTAGCAGTCAAATGAACATAGTGGAGCGGAACAGTACCTGATATGCTCATAACAACTGGGAGGTGATCAGGTATTATGTACTTAATTTTAAATGATCGTTAACGTACCTCTCTGCACATCATGCAGCTCCATAATGACATGCAAGTGCGGTACAAATTGTTACCATTTATCACGTCATTACCAAACAGAAGAGCTGTGCAATAATCACTGTCTATGTACGGGAGAGCTACCAAAAGATCGGAGGAAGCACGTGGTCAATCCAGTGATACGACAGTCGCATTTTATCGGAGCTAAAGGGAAATGTGTCCATATTTGGTAAATGAATGCCGAGAAACAGCCATGTTTGTCCGGTGTAGCATCCTAGATAAACACAGCAAGGTGAGAAAGGGTTGTTACCATCTCGAAATGAGAAAGAACCGTGTAAACGTGTTTTAGGTATTTTAATATTTCTTTTCTACACCGCAGTGGGGCAGTTTATATTTTGGTTCAAGTGGCATGCGATGTTCTGCTAACGGACCGCTTAACCATCATCGTACAGCATACGAGCAGGCTGTCCTGGCCCACAAAGCACTCAACATGGCCCTAACAACTTTCGGTCCATGGAATGCAGATCAGTTCACATGTTGTAATTAAGGGCGTCTTCTCAACAAACGTGACAGCTAAATTCATCGAAATTGATGACAAAGCGATGGAATACTCCGCTTGATCTTCACAAATCCTGCTCCATGAACAAAATATCGTGGCCACGGTCGGTCCTAAAGGACCAGAAGAGTGTGTCCATTCGGATGCTGTTCATGAAAAGACTGATAAGCTTACGAGTACCGTACATGATATTATATGCGTGCAGCACACAAAAAAGTGGAAGTATAGCGCAGTGCTCCGTTTTTTCTTTTCTCGCCAACACCGCGTATTATTTTGCCATCTTGTGTATCTGCCGGTAACTTCCTCGTCAGTGTTTCCTGTTCCATGCTCGCTGACACTGAGATGCGGCACATGCGCGATCTGCTAATGCACCAGACTGCTCGTGGTACGAGTGCAGTTACATCGCACGGTCATCCACAGCAGCTTGCTTTAACTGCTCGTGGTACGGGTGTAGTTACATCGCACGGTCATCCACAGCAGCTTGCTTTAACTGCTCAGCAATTTGATGCATCCAACACCGCACATCTGTGCGATCTTTCTCGATGTGCTGATGCCGATTGTGACCCTGCCAGTTTTTGTTTCTTGGCCCAGCTATTTCAAAATTTTTGAGCACGCCCCACGAACGTACCGATGCCCCATTTGCACATCGCAATAGCACAGATAGTGAACATACTCATAAAGGAACACCAGAAGAACACACCGATAAACATAAACAGAACGATCGGCATGGTATCAAAGCAGCACAGCCTGAAACGAATACCCCGTCTGACAGAAATAATCAGTGCTATACCCGCGAAGTACCAGAATTTAATACACCTGATACGTGCAAAGCCTGTAAGAACAGCATCTGGCGTGGCCATAGTTGCGGTGATGTGCAAGCCGCACAGATGCCCACACATCGCGCTGACCGGCAATATCTGCATTTACTGTCCGGGTGGGCCCGACTCAGAATTTGAGTACTCCACACAGTCGTACACCGGGTATGAACCAACCTCGATGAGGGCCATAAGAAACCGGTACGATCCGTTCATGCAGAGCCGTACACGTCTGAAGCAGCTTGAAAGCCTTGGGCACGTGCCCGACAAGGTTGAGTTCATTATAATGGGCGGCACGTTCTTGAGCCTCTCCAACGAGTACAAAAGGGATTTTGTGAAGAAGCTGCACGATTCACTCAGCGGGCATTGCTCGTCCACCTTGGAGGAGGCGATCAAATTCGGCGAGCACAGCAGAATTAAATGCATCGGCATCACAATTGAGACCAGGCCCGACTTTTGCTTCCGTCCACACATCTCTGAGATGCTTAGCTATGGCTGTACACGCGTTGAGATCGGTGTGCAGAGCATTTATGAGGAGGTGGCACGCGATACCAACAGAGGACACACGGTGAGTGCGGTCGCGTTTGCATTCCGGATGGCGAAGGACAGCGGATACAAAATTGTGAGTCACATGATGCCCAACCTACCGAATGTTGATAAGCAGCGCGATTACGTGCAGTTCCAGGAGTTTTTCTCTAATCCAAAGTTTCGTAGTGACGGCTTGAAGATCTATCCCACGCTGGTTATCAAGGGCACAGGCCTGTACGAGCTGTGGAAGAATAAAATGTACAAGAACTACTCGCCTGATGAGCTTGTGGACTTTCTCGCACGAATACTCATGCTCGTGCCGCCATGGACACGGATATACCGGGTGCAGCGCGATATCCCCATGCCGCTCGTGTCATCGGGCGTAGAGTACGGAAATATCAGAGAGCTGGCAATGGCTAAGATTAAGGATTACGATGGCAGCTGCAGGGATGTGCGTAGCCGAGAGGTGGGCATCAAAAGGATTGCGGAGGGCATAGTGCCAAAGGAAATAACCATGGTGCGAAGAGATTACATGGCAAACAATGGGTGGGAGACCTTTATAAGCTTTGAGGATGTGCAGAGCGACATTTTGATCGGACTGTTGAGGCTAAGAAAGTGCAGTACCGACACGTTCAGGAAGGAATTGCTGGCCGCTGGGAGAATGGACAGCATGTCGTGCGGTCACGCAGAGATAAAGACATTGGACGATCAGAGCTGGAAGCGCAACGTCCTATACCACAAGAGGAGCGTAAATGTGAGCAACGATCTGGAGGAGAGAAGCAGATTAGCCGACAAGTATCCAGCGGGAGCACGCAACACGGCCATAAAAGCGGAAGGAGGTTGCACCGGTGGTAATCTGAGAGACAGAATAAAAAATGCACAACCGTTCGACTTTGCTGCTTACGCCCAGTTGAAGGAGATAAAGAACAGCAATGCAAGCATCATAAGAGAGCTGCATGTATACGGCGTAGCGGTTCCCGTGGACAAGCAAAAGAACGAATGTTTCCAGCACAAGGGATACGGTGCCATGCTGATCGCTGAGGCAGAAAGAATTGCCAGAGAGGAGCACAGTTCCAACAAAATGGCCATAATATCGGGTGTAGGCACACGCAAGTACTACGAAAGATTTGGTTACTGGCTTGAAGGACCATACATGGTAAAGAACCTGTGAACAGCATTTTATACAGCTCAACACCACGGTTGCATGCGTGATGTGCTTTTCAGACCAATAAACCGCAATTTATAATTTTTTAATATTTTTTTACACGCCCCGTTCTTCTTGCGCTGTAAACGTTGCACTCACCGTGTTGCTTTCCGAGGCATTTCTCATCAGCAATCCACCCCACGTATAAAACACGTGCTAATTACGGTAAAAATACCAAACGGGTGGTTAACGTGTTAAATAATTGCACTCCTCACTTAAATCAGCACATTTTCATTTGCAGTGCGTTCTTCAGCGGTTATTACCAAAACATTGCTCTACGCCAACAGAAACGCCTTTTTACCGGATATCACCCTAATTTGACCTTTTCTCCGTGTCTAACACACGTAAAGCACTCATCGTATCATTTGCGACACGCCAATACAAATATCACAGCTTGTACACCACGGCACTCTTTTTTGGAAAGGGAGGACAATAACGTGGTAGACCACGTGTAAGAAGTAATCTTCCACCAAAAGTACGTTCATTTGCCTTTCATGTCCAAAATTAGAACAACGCACCGTTCTGTTCTACCAGGACCGACCGCATGAACAACATTTGATTAATTTAGAGCAGAGCGGTGATCAGGGCTTAGCAAACGGAATTTACACTGCAAATCAACCACAGCACGTTGCTCGTCATGAAAGACGCAAGGGAATAAACACAGCGACGAAAAATGGTTTAGTGCGTTAGCGCACAGACACACCGCGCTGCTGCTCCTTCCTCCAAATCATTCACTGGTAAATCCCTCAGCGCAGCAGGGTGCGATTGATTCGCTGGTGAGTGGTGCGAACGACGTGCGATGCCACCAACCGATCGTGACCAAGCGCTGATCACCAAACCGCATAATTGGCAGATAACCGCTCTTGCATTCTGCCAGCAGCACCATCTCCGTTCACACACCGGGAGCGGTACCCTGCCAAACTTGCATGCTCGTCAAATTCATCTGCTGTGCCGCCGTCTCTTCGGCAAGGACGCGACCAGCTGTCCGCGTACTCTGCAGACCAAAAAACGCGCTCATAATTCTTCGCTGCACATAGGCCCGTTCATTTGGGCATCGCAGGCGCATCTCCACGCCACAATGCCACCAAACACGGGCAACAGCGCGAATCAACGAGCGCCACAAAACTTTTCCACTAAAATCGTTTTAATCACGCACTTAAATTAGCATGGCACCTTACCATCGTCTTCTGCCATGGTTTCCTCGTCCTCTGTTGCTGCTGCTGTATCTATAACCACTGCTGCTCCTATACGCTCCGCCTCTGGGCACGATCTGCGCAAGGTCGTCAGGCACGCTCTGCCCAGCATTCTTAAGAATGTTCACGAGCTCGGCTGCATTACCACGGTCTTCCTGCGTGAAGAACGCGATGGCGAGCCCTTCCTTCTGGTTGCCACGTGCTGTGCGACCTATCCTATGGATGTACGAGTCGCAGTTCGGCGGGAAGTCAAAGTTTATGACCGCCTGCACGTCTTTCACATCAAGACCTCGTGCTGCCACATCAGTGGCAATCAAAATGTTCTTACGCCCGCTCTTAAAATCGTTTATCACTCTGTCTCTGTTCTGCTGCGACTTGTCGCCGTGAATTGCCGAGGCGTAGTAGCGGTGCTTGCCAAGCTCATACTCCAACGTATCACACGTCCTCTTCTTGTTGCAGAAAATGATCACCTTCATGTCATTCTCATTCAGAAAGGACACCAGGTTGTCCACCTTGTCTCTTTCATCGCACACCCTCACCACTTGGTGTATTTTCTTGTTGCTTGTGAGTTCATCCTCGCCTATCGTTACCTGTATGTAATTCTTCATGAACGAGTACGCCAAGTCGCGCACTTCTCGTGGCCATGTGGCGCTCCACATCAAAGTCTGCCGCTCCGGGTTCGTCTTCGGTATGATATTGCGCAGCTGCGGCTCGAATCCCATGTCCAACATGCGGTCGGCCTCGTCAAGCACGAGATAGGTCACACGTGATAGGTGTATGCAGCCCTGTTCCATCAGATCGATGAGCCTTCCTGGGGTGGCCACAAGCACCTCGACACCCCGTCTTATTCCCTGTCGCTGTGGAAAAGCGCTCACGCCACCGTACACGGCCAGCGACCGCATCTTGAAAAACCGGTCGTACTCCTCAACCACCTCCTGTATTTGCAAGCACAGCTCGCGTGTAGGTGCCAAGATCAGAGCGATCGGGCCGTCACCCGGCCTGAGCGGTTCCTGTGCAGCCGCATGCACGAGTGCGGGCAGCGCAAAAGAGATCGTCTTTCCCGACCCGGTCTGCGCAATTCCGACCATGTCTCTGCCCGACAGTGCCATCGGCCATCCCTGCGCCTGTATGGCCATAGGCGACTTGAACTCCTTCTTTTTGAAATAATTCTGCACACCCGCACCAAAATCAACGTCCTCAAAACCAATGATGGGCTTGGGCACGCCCTCACCGATAATTTTCATCTGATTCTTCTCTCTAAAGCTGTTCACCTCGTTATCGCCCATCTCGCTCACACGCGCGCTCTCTCTGTAAAAGTTCTTCTCGAAATCAATCGATCCATTGTCCTTTACCGAGTGAGTGCTCGGTGATTGACTGTAACTGCTGCTTCTGCTGCTTGTGCGCCAATTGCTCCTTTGATAGTTCGACATGCTTTTTACAAGGGCCGAACAATTTTTCATATTTATAAAAAATTTTGCGGTTTGATTTGGCGGGGCAGTTGAACGGTGCGCAGTTTCTATTTGTTCCCTGCGATGCATCGGATGAATACCGTCATCAAGGCTGATGAAACACGTTTCGTGAGTGCTGAACGGTCTTGCACAAAATTTTTTATTTTTTAGATCCGTTACGGTTCATCAGCAAATCTTTATATCAGCGGTAGTTCTGGTGCGGTACCTACAAAAATTTAATTTTTGTTGGTTCGTTGCGGATGATCTGTTTGGGCGTTAACGTGCCGATAGCATGAGAGCTGCGTGTTGAGTGGACGAGATGTACCGGTACGGTAGCAGATGAGTGACCGTTCGGCAGGTGATAAACCGTTTCTGCGTTTTGCCATGAAAAGATGAATTGAGAGGAAAGCGCGAGGTAAAAGGATCAACAACGGACATGTGTGGTATTTCTGATGAATTGATTTTGATGGCAGTCCTACGAGGAGCGGAGTGGTAACGAATTAAAGGGCAGTAGAGCAACAGGACCTGTCGTAAAGCACGTTTTTGCTCACACTCAGCACAAACAACGGATCGTTCGTAGTTCCAACGTGCACATCTACCAGCAATGGTGTTCATACACCACGAAGAGCCCTATGAGGTGCAAACCGCTAATCATTGTTCCAAACGCTGCAATAAAAAAAAAAGAAAATTGCGATTACTGGTCAGGGAGATGGTACGGAAACACAAATGCTCCGGAGAACGAATCCGTTGTGAACGCTGCCACGCCAACGTAATGTAGCAGCCTTGTTAGCAAGAACGAATGCGTCTTCAAACATGACAAGTTCATTCCCAGTTGTGTAAATGATTAGTACCACGGCATAGCGCTTAAATATCGTACGGTATGGTCCAACAAAATAATCAAACAGCGGCCGTGGCTGTTTGAAATGAGCACATCGTTCAGTTGCTGTGAAGTAGAAAGGAGAACACCTCGAATTGAAAGCATTTCTAATTATATTTGCTCCTGTACCGGCATACTGCTGTTGTGTAGATTAAGCATTGATTACTTGTACTTCGCGTTCTTGACGGGCACCTTTTCGGCATTGCACTGCTGACTGTCCCATGTTGCGTGTTTTTACGTTTCTATCACAAGAATTAGGGGCAGTAGCTGCGCCGGTCACCGCAGACCAAGTACATGCGCTTACCGGTTGGTGTGGTAACAAACATATTTGTGGCGGGAAAGCGGTTACAGAACGATAGAAGAGTACGGCGGGCAACAAAATTATAATGCGCTTACGGCATGTTTGCTCGTTTTACTTCCAAAAATAGCGTGTCAAGCGTATCAATAGCAAATATTGCCGAGAACGGAAGAAAGAAAGTATAAATAGCTTAGAAAAACAGACCGTGTATGAGCACACGAAACAATGAGACAGGACTTGAAGCGGAAGGTACCACGATGCAACCAAATGCTTCGGTACCGTACAACAGAACGTGCCTTTCAACCGATAGCACTTTAAATTATTTACAGCAGAACGTTGACGGAGTGATTGCCATTTTACTTTTTGTCAGTCTTGCCGTTATACTGGTGTTTGTGCTTTTCTCAGCTGTGAAGTGCGTGGATGATAAGAGAAAAGAGATTAGGGCTGCTATATCGATGCACATGCGAGAACGTTCTGATGAAATTGGCGATTCTCGCATTGTTCGACCTGATAATACCGATCAAACTAGTGTTTGATCAGAGATGTGTGAAGGGAATGCGTACCGCGCATGTTTGACGTAAATAAAGGGATGTTTGAGAACAATTTTTGTTGGTTGATCAAAAATCTTCGTTTTGCACTGCCATGCACACAGTCTGCCACACCAAGACCACCCATTCGGCTAGCTGGTGCAATTGTGACGGAACAGTAGGTGAATCTACCGTGTTTTGCTGATGCTCTTTATCAGAATTATTAAAGATTAGCTCCCGTCCTACTACACCTGGTTACCGCTTTGGAATCGGTACAAATACAGGTAAGCGGTGTGTTAGCCGTGCATCTATCTTTTAATGGCACAACGAAGTGCTGCTCGTTACGTGTCTTTTATACCGTTACAGGGGGAACATTCATTAATTATCATGTCAGTACGATTTTGCACTTGTTGCGCACGAATAGGGCAGGTAAAACAGAAGTATTCGTTCTCAGCCATGTATTTCGGTAAAACGCTTTAGTCATTAAAAATTGAGCTGCTAACAAAACATGACGTGATCCGGTGCATAGGTCTTGAACAGCACCTCTACCAGCAATAACCAAAATATTGGTTGCAATACACAAGTGCGCATTCTTTCTTCGATGTTACTCCCTGAAGAGTATGTTCATGTATCACGTCGTACTTTAATACCTTTTTCTGTACGGTCCGCACCTTTTTACCTCGTGTCATTCCTACGTGCTATCACCGGAACGGTCTTATGGCGATCTGTCAATGCCATCAATTTGATGCCTACCCGATTCGTACGATGAGAGGTATAAAAGACGCTTCAGCGGAGCAATTGCTATGTGTGACATGATTCGTGAAGCGGTGTTGAATGGCGAGCACTGTACAGCTGATAGCAAATCATCAGTTCAACCCGATGCAGCGTGTCCCAAAAGTGAGAATCGCATTCGTTCCGCTGAAAATGTCTGGTCAAACGGTTACTCTGAGTACAACTGCAGTGAAGTGCTCGCTTTAATTTTGATCAGCTATTTCCTGCTCATCACAATCATTTCGTTTGTACTTTGGATTACCGACATGGTTCATCGAAGGAGACGAACGCAACGAATGAACCAGAGGCATGGCGGTTGAAGAAAGATGGTGATCTGCACTCTGCTGGAGATGAAAGGCTGTTAATTAATTTGGTTGTTGTGGTGTTTTACTCCATCGCTGAGCTAAACATTCAGCAGTCCAAACTGCAAGGTATTAAATGTTAGTGATGGGTCGTTCATAGCGTTTGATTGGTTTTGCAGTTCTGCATCATAGCGCTCCTCTCTAGCCCTTGCTCATTATCCGTTTCATCCTAAACGCACCTTTTTTGCTACCACATCGCTCTGAGCGAAGTTAACGGAATTGTTGATGCCCCTGCTCCATCGCGGTCCCATTTTCTCGGTGTGATAGAAACGTAAAGCGTTACGTGCGGTAAAACACGGGCATGCCATTTTTACAAAACATTTCATAAAATTATCGGGTGCACCGCTGTTTATTCGGCCGATGTTGTGTTTTAGGAGATAAAAACGACTCATTTAGGAAAATACACCGCTAACCACCACTTGTCCTTTCCTACGGGCGTATTAGTTCGTCTTCCTCTGCCGGATACAGAATCTTCACGCCGTGTGCAGTACGTGTTTTGGCTGTCACCAGTGAGTGTGTGCGGGCGTGTAGAAGTGAATGATCATGCTCTGAATGAAGAAATGTGCTGGCCACAGCATCGTGGTAATGCTCAGGAACCGGTTAATTCACAAACTCGGTCAAAATTAAAAATTCTCAATTTTGTCGCCCCTTGAATGGAATTCAACTTCGAGCACACGACAACCGTTTTCTCATCAGAGGGCAAACTGCAGCACTGCGACAAGGCGCTGTTGGCAGCACTGAAAGGAAGCCTGTCGGTCGGGCTGAACGCCAACGACGGATGCGTTCTCGCATCGCTGAAACCCAACGACAAGCTGATCGATAAGTCAAAGGTGATCAAGATTGTGCCGTTATCATCCAACCTGGGCATCACCTACTCCGGTCTGCAGCCCGATTTTAGGGTCCTGACCAACAGACTGCTCAAAATGGTTGAGGGATACAACATGATATACGGCAAAATGTACGTAGAAACCTTTGTCAACAAGCTCAGCAGGGAGATACAAGAGTTCACGCAGCTGGGAAATATGAGACCGTTAGGTCTTCTCTTGTTGGTGTGCGGCACCACGTTCGACAACAAAACAAAATTGTTCTCCTTGGATCCTTCCGGTTCCTTCCAGGAGGTTACCTGTGCTGGAATAGGTAAGAATTACTCGGAGAGCATACGGTACATGGAGAAGAGGAGCGAGTCGTTTGAAGATAATCTGAACACCGCGGTTTGTACGCTTAAGGAGTTTGCAGGGTATGACTTAGGTTCAGAGGAAGTGCAGATTGGTGTTTTGCAGGATGGTAGTTTTAGGATATTGAAGGATGATGAGGTAAGAGATATTTTTGATAATATTAACAACTAAAACGATTTGATGTAATTTTATTTATTGCTGGGCTGGCTTTGTCCAGCCAATGGCCCTTTTGTAGAGATTAATGGCAAAATGATTTATTCGCATTGGTGAGAAAGAGTTGATTCCTCAGCATTTGTATGGTACCTGTGATTACAAGTATGTGCATAGCTGGTGGCCTTAGAAATGCTGACTTCCCGTGCCAAGACAGGTAAATCATTCTCTTTCAGCAACGAACAAAGATATTTATTCCTACGATTGCACCACACGTTTAAAAAACACAGTTTTGAAGAAGAATTGGGGCCTTTTCTGCGGATCAGGGACCCGTGGCCGTTCCTTGCGGATCAGAAAAGCGTGTTCCATCGGGAACGCGGCGTGGTGCACAGGCATACTTTCAATGAAGGGAGAAGAGTCTCCCGTTCTGGATGAACGCGTACACATACCGCTACTAACACACAAAATAGCATTTATTTAATCCATTCTGGACTTAACCGTCCTCTTGATCACCCTGTTTCTGCTGATAATATGGGCCTCTGCTCCCCATCCTGATAGGGCATCACGATCAATAGCATTAAGAAATATCTGCATTGCAGCCACAAAAAGTTCATCATCATTCATGTTCGGTGTGTACAACGCCTCAGCCAGTCCATAAAGCTTGTCCTCCGCGGTACCAACCGCACAGAAATCATTGGTGGTACTCTGACAGCCCAGCAAGTCCATCGAACAGATGTAGGGCCTATTCTGCACGTCAATTCCTGCCACTATAGGATCGACATAGCTGGGCGAAAACCGGTTGGAATACAAAGTGGACGAAAGCAAGGAACAGAACTCATCCGGTTCAATCCTCCTATTCTCCCCAATTTCAAACAGGTTCACCTCCTTACTCAGCTTCCTAACGAGCATCTGAATGTCAGGAACAAAAAGTGCCATCCCCACGTACACCCTATCACTCATCTTGTACACCCTATCGTGCTGCATCGATACTGTGATTGAGTTATTTCCGAGTCGCTTGTCGCTCACAATGATAGCTGAGTCCTTGCCGGTCAGTGCCAGAACAGAGCCACCGTAGAATTTGCTTATGTCTGACATGCAGGGGTAGGTTTTTGGTGCGCAATAAAAACAAGATTGGTGAACGGAAGGAATTTTCATGCCCCTGATGAAGGACCAGTGGAGCTGAAACAGATAGAGTTTGCTTGAAGGACCACAAAAATGTGCTGGTCTGTGCGATCACCAAGTATTTGGTGGAGGAAAGATCGTTGTTCTACGCTGACGATCGCGTTCCAAAATATTTTTCAGTTTCACATCTTGCTTTTGGTTTGTGGGCGTTTAATGCGGCAGAGTAATGACGGGTGCGGATGAGCACAGCGCTCGAAAAGACGATAAAAAAGGCTATTTCACCGAAATAACAGAGAAATTTGCGGTTGTTGATCTGGTAGTTCAAGAATTTGATGCAAAAATTCACGAAAAGATCAACGAAATCAAAAAATACAGAAACAACCTTGAGGAAAGTATCAAAAAATTTAAAGAAAAACGGAACAAGAAAATGAGAGAGATATACGACATTGTATCGAGTCTGTAATAAAGTATGTGGTGCAAAATTGTTGAGAAAGATGATTTGTTTGTTGTTGGCGGAGGGAGCCTCCTCTTTGCAAAACAATTCGTTCGTTACGGGTACGAGCGTTTTTACCCTCTGCCGTACAATTGCACCAAGCCTTAGGCGGGTGTAGAAACGTTCCTTCACCATTTCTTGAGACATGTTAAGAACGAATGGTTGATGGCAAGCCGAATATGCCGATAATTTGGAGATCGAAGCACGTATGGCCGCACGGTGTTGGGCAGCGAATGATCAAACATCTAGGGCACGTCATTCAACAGCATGGCCAGGTGTGCTGCACCGCAGGAGCACATTCATAATCGTACGGTGATTTCGTACCGACCACGAACGTAAACACCGAGCCATTCGTATTTTACGGCAAATTTCTTTTCATGTCAACACCAAATAAACACTCCGTGAACCGTTGATCAATACCGTTCCAGCACAACTCCCAGCATCGTACTTCGTCCATTGAATTATCGGATGGTTTGCTCTTCTCACAGCATCGTACTTCGTCCATTGAATTATCGGATGGTTTGCTCTTCTCACAGCATCGTACTTCGTCCATTGAAACTATCGGATGGTTTGCTCTTCTCACAGCATCGTACTTCGTCCATTGAAACTATCGGATGGTTTGCTCTTCTCACAGCATCGTACTTCGTCCATTGAATTATCGGATGGTTTGCTCTTCTCACAGCAAATTACTACCCACAGCAACCTCCGCGTCATCATAGGGACACGATCAAAATTACAGAGAATCGATTTGTACAGCGGTATGGTCCCTTGTTTACAACATTGTGCAAGGCACTCCGTTATCGGAGGTAAAACAGTACGTTACGGCCAGTTCATCGATTGAGCATGCCAGGTTACATCTCATGCACGTGGCAGGTACAATTATTTACCGCATAGGTTCAATATCTATGCTTACATTGGTCATGGCCCATCAATAGAACGATTTATTCGTAAAATACCATCCACGCATAACCTGTCCTGCTTGGTGCACCCCTTCGTTCCAACAATTCGCGATTTAACACACGGGTACACCGCTCAGGTTCCTATGCCGGGGGTGTTCCGGAACTTGCGCCTCTTCGTTGCTGCAGCACGAGAGCACGCGTTGATCTGAGATGTGGCGTCAACGTATCACTCCTTTCCTGCTACACCGAACAGGATGGTCTTCTTGGAACGGCAATATTGCGCGCCAGGCACAGCCCATTTGAAAGGGTAAAAGCCCAATTCATCCATTCTATCACATTTTATGGTGCAAGTACGTCTAAGCACGCATATAACGGGGGAACTGCCCGGCGGTACGAGCATACCATCGTGAGACGATGAAAAGGCTTTACGTGGTGAGTGCCACGTGCATGCAAAGAATGCACACAAGAATTGGCGGTAACAACGGCAGAGAAAATCGCTATCAAGCAAATTTGCGGTGATCGACAGGAACATCAAAGCGAGGTGGTCAGAGCGGCACCACAAAACATTTTTTTACCGCAGTGAACAGCGCTGTTGGTGTAAGGCGACGAATAAACGACTTTTAGCAACAAAAATGATGAATGAACCGTTCCAACAGCTTTTACTTATTTTTTTTTCTCAGCGCTAGCTTTTTGATGTGGCTGTGTTGGAAGTACACAGCGTATCCAATCATAACATCGGGAATAAACGTAAGAAGAACATTTTGCATCATGTGATAGAAGTAGGGCGTGTTCTCGTAGAAAGTGCCCACGCTTTCAACCACCGACTTGGCAAAATCGTGTGCAGAGGGCACAAACAGGCTGGGCTTCCTTATTTTGCTCATCTTCGTGGCCACAAAATTCGGAGTAACATATTCAACATGGACATACTTGTGGTTTAGCTCGTATGCAAGAGAAACAGACCACGACTTGAGCATGCTCTTAGAAGCTGCATACACCGCATGCAGCGGGCAGGGAAAGTCAGCAACCTTCGAGCCAATGTTAATTACGTACGAGTACCTGTCCATTTTCCTGAGCACATTCTGCGTAAGTTTTATCGTGTTCAGGTTGTTCACGTTGATGATCTGTGATACCCGCTCATCATCCACGAAGTCTTTGGTGTACTCGCTGCTCACACCGGCATTGTTGATGAGCATGCCGATGTTGTCGGTATCGATGCCCTCAAACGACTGTTCAGCCGCAAAGTCCAAAAGAACGGTCTTGCACTGCGTAAGCTTTGCAGCCTCGGCTCGGGTAGCCTCCAGTTTATCTGCATTTCGGCCCACTATAATGATGTTTTGCTTCATTTTTGCAAGTACTAGTGCTATTTCCTTGCCTATGCCATCCGTAGCACCTGTTACCATGATCCATCGTCCTTTGATGTTCCGCCACACCCGGTAGTTCAAGATCCTGGAGGCAAGGAACCTGTAGTTGAAGTAAATTACACGGAAACAGAAAAAAACAACAAAAATTTTGAGGATCGTAGGCAGCATACCAGGGCTGCTTTTCTTTTTAATTAAAAACATAGGAGCAGACAGCAACACAGGTTGGTGATTATCGGCATGTAAGGAACCACCAAGAAATTATTTTGACAGTAACTGACACGCTCCACCGTGTGCTGCTAGCAGCCTCGTACTTGGTAAACCAAAATACGGTACACGAGCAGATCACCACATATTTCAACCGTGCAGGCACACGTCCGTTTTCGTTCGTTAAGTGATTCTGCGGACCGAGCGCTTTTGCTGCCACATCTTGCGAGGTAATCGTGTTTTACCGCCAGCACGGCGAGAGTTGCTGAATCAGAACGGTGTGAACGCGCCACAATTCGTAAAACGTTGCGCAATAATTGTTCGTACAAGCTACGATTACAAAATAATGTGCGAAACGATCGGTTATTTGACGTACAAAGGCGTTTTTAACGTTCGTTTTTTTTGATGTAATTCGAGTGTATGTGATAAAAAACTCACGGTTTAAAAACGGAACGAGCTGAGCAATTTCTGAAATGTACAGCCTGAATACAGCCGTAAAAATGAGGAGCTGAAGGGATCAGTAGATTGATAAAGACTACTTTTCCCACCGTACCACATCAAAACACTGAATGACACTCATTCTGGCCGTTTGGTAATTTGATCAGGCCATACCTAACGGGCGATCTGCGGCTGTCGTTGTGAGGAGAAGGGGAGCGTGCCGTGCCAGGAAGGGGCCGTACAGGCATAAAACACAGATACAACTCATACACAAAAATTGAAGCAGCGCACGTCCCGCAACCGTATAGGCCGTTCGTATCACGCCCTGCTTACAGACAGCTAAGCCTTTTAGCGCCGAAAACTACCTGAGAACACTAATTTAATCATTGGCATGTGCCCACAATTACCTTGCCATACCGCTCATACCTCCCGCTCATACCTCCCTCTCATACCTCCCTCTCATACCTCCCTCTCATACCTCCCTCTCATACCTCCCTCTCATACCTCCCTCTCATACCTCCCTCTCATACCTCCCTCTCATACCTCCCTCTCATACCTCCCTCTCATACCTCCCTCTCATACCTCCCTCTCATACCTCTCTCTCATACCTTCCGCTCATCCAAGTACCGCTTCACCTCAATTCCAAGCTTTTCCAGCAACTTCCTTGACTCAACATCGCTCGCACAGTAGTAGTTCCTGAATATGACCCTTTTGATCTGCGCCTGGATAATCTTCTTTGTACACAGCAGGCACGGGAATAACGTGACGTACAGATCGCATCCATCCAACCTCTCGCTGAACACACCCATCATTGCACTTTCCTCGGCGTGCAGGCACACACAAAGATCAAGGTTGCTGCCGGATGGCGTTCCACCACAGCAGCGCGGACAGCCACCATCCATGCAGTTGAGCGTGCCCACGGCTGTGCCATTGTATCCCGTGCTCACAATCCTATTGCCCTTGACCAGAATAGCACCAACACATCGCTTTGCGCATGCCGACTTGTACGACACGAACGTGGCGATGTCCATGAAGTACCTTTCCCATGCCGGCCGTACCTCTAACTGAAGCTCGTCAAGCTGCGCTCTCAGATGCAGCTTATCCCTGCACCCGTTCAAATACTGAACCTTGTACGTAAATTTGTTGATCGCACACACATCGTCATAAAAAGCAGGATCTGTGTGCTCAGTAAATATTATGAGAAGAAGCGAACACGAGATTTCGTATTTCCTCCAGTCGGCCACGTCGGTGAGCGTGAGTATGCCGTACTTTATCTGGTGCGGAAAACACAGCTCGGGCGCTGATTGCGTAAGAATCGGACATTGCAGACGTTCACTCAGGTATTTCTGTGCGTACGAGGACGTCTCCCTCTCTCTGGTGTAAATACAAATCAACATTAGAGGGATGGCTGCAATGTTGATTTCTTGAAACTTGGATACGAGCGATAAAAATGTTGGGCCGATAGATGTATGAAAGATAGAAAGGACCGATAGATGCGCAGTGTATCGGCAATAGTGGGGTGAGTACGATCGTTTCTAATGTTATGACACCAATTTCTCTTTTCGGTACGTTTTCGTTGCACCACAAAATACATTTTTGCTCTTCGACACAGACCGCGTAAAAAACTCGGCATAAAACGACAGCAAAACGATTCGTTCACAAATATGCGATGCTTCACCGGTTCTCGTATCACGCTTCCCTTTAAAATGCGCAAAAAACTGTCAAAATTATCAAAAAACTATCATCGGCTTATTTCTCGCGAGAAGTTAGGAGATAATGTGCCCGATCACCAGAACATCTCACGTGAAAAATGATCGTGCCCTGCAACTGCTTGCTCTGGGAGGCAAATTGTCAATTTAAATTTATTTCTTCATACAACGATCAGGATTTGCATTTCTTTGATCAAATTTCTGGTATTGAACCTGTGAATGGCAACCAAACAGGCGATCTCGCGAATTGATCGGTGCTTTCGCCGTACAAAAATTTTTGACAGTTAAAGAGCGTGATGAACTAACACCGCGAAGAGTCTGCAAATTACGGTACAAATCACACATTCTTTCCATTTTTTTGAAGGAGGTTTTCATGACAGCCAGCACTAATCATCCTATAGCACTGCGATGTTGCTATTTTTACCAACGTTTCTTCAAACGTGTCCTACTGCAATTCTTTCATGCCCATTATTTCCGCAGCTTGGTTTACGTTCCTGGCCGGTCTATGGCCCTACTGCAATTCTGTGCTCATATCACGAATCAAATGAAAAGGCCAAACCATACCATTTTCGTATTCGTAACAAAACACGACCCAATTGGCATATTATTCGGTTTGATTGGTGTGCACGTCATCGTTTAACATACATATCATGATACACGGTATGCAGACCATGACATGCTCGGCAATGGGCGTATCTACACGTATCTGGAATAAATGGTGTAAACAAACGCGAACGGTGGGAAAGGCACATTTAGTGGTAGGTAGCACGGCAGAAAGACCGTATTTTTAGTATAATCATAGAACGGGCTGAATAAGTTGCAACAAAATGAACTGTTAGTTGTGATAAGCCTTGAAGAATTTGTTTGGTGTAAAAATGGTAAACAAATTTGATAGAAACAACAATTGCATGCAGCATATTCTGTTTCGTTGCAGGTGCGTATGAACACGGTTGAATAAGAAGCGGAGGATTGCTGTGTTGCGTAGAATTTACGGGATATTTGTGGTGTGGCACACAAAAATAAATTTTTGTAAAAAAAGGAAAAAATAAATTTTTATCAGCAATCAAAAATCGATTTGATAGTTTGGTGGTTTTACACCTCATCGTGGGAGTGCTGGTCTAAATATAGCATTTTTAGGGATGGTTCGCATTTAAAGAAGTGCCTTTATGTGGGATGTATTTACGCATTCAGATATGAACGTTTTGGTCGTGGCACTCCAAGGAAGTAACTGAACAGCGCAGTTTTACACTGACGCGGTTCAACACTACGCGCACACCGATGATTACTTACCCATGGAAAAAGGCCCAATGAACAGTGGGTGTTTTGCAGGGTACAAAATGATATAATAGTATATTTGAGAGCTGATGCCGGGAAAAGGCTTTACATCGCCTTTGGCCATGATGTCACCGATGCATTTTCTCCTTTGTGCGATCATATCTCGGTATATCAACATCCTCATTGCTTAACTCGTCTTAAAACCTTTCATTCCGTACTATTCGGTTATTTTCACCAATATCCTTGCGCACCACGTCGTGCCATAGGTGATCTGTTTGTTAACAAATTAAATTTACTGATCTGAAACACATTTTTTGTATTTATTGCTTTCCAAACATTGCTAAGCAATGAGTGTTCGAACATTTGCTGATGATTTAGTAAAGAAATTCGTAATTAACGATAATTCTGATGATACGGACGATTCAGAGAAGCAAAATGAGGTGTTACAGATAAATTTGGTACCTGGCACGCTGTACATGAACATGTCGGGCATCATAGGGAAATATGGCAATCACTCAAGGCTTGAAAGCTTTTATGTGGTGCTCAAGAACAAGGACGGCATTGTGGGCGCAGAAGAGGTTAAGCGGGAGTATGGAAAGGCGTTTGATGTGTTCTTCAAGCTGAGAATAGAGGATAGCTGCGAGTTCAAGCTTATTTTGTACCTGAAGTACAAAAATATGACATTTGATCATCTGCAGAGCGGCAGTATCAAGGCGTTTGAAAAGAATCTGAAGAGATACGGCGAATGCACGATTGACTGTGACAAGGATGACATTAAGAAATGGCACAACGGTGTGCATTTTGTAGACTATGCCTTGAAGAGGCACAGCGAGCCCAACATTATCAAACGCTTTTTGGAGCTGTTTGAGCCCGACCCACCGGAGATATACGGGCTGAAAGCGCATATGAGCTACATCGCATTTGAGGAGCAACGGGCAATACAGGCACGAACGATCAACAGTCTGTCTGATCTCAAGGAATGGTTGCGGTTCAGACAAAACACCTACAAGAAGTTCTTCCACGGCTACATAAATCTAAAGGGCCACGGTCTTGAACACTGCACACATCTGTGGAAAAGACGATACATTGAATGGAACGGATACAAAATCCGCATTTTCAACGTGTACACGAATGAAAAGATAGGCACTGTTGATGTCTCGAACGCGAGTGTGCAGTGTGTGGACGTGGAACCGAAAAACTTTTTGAAGGATAATTTGATGCGAATAAATGTTGAGAGCGGGTACATGGAGGCACATTTTGATAGTGTTAAAAGCTATGAACGGTGTTTGAGTGCGGCCAAGTTTGTCTTTGGACGTGTGCATAGATTGAAGAATTGGTAAAGGTAAATAAAGCATTTGAATCATAGAAGGGAACGTGAGTATCGTTCGATGAATTAGGTTTAGCAATGAGATTGCTATATCATGTGATATAACAGCATATATAATCCTTTGTACCGGAGACAGGGATATTTTCGCTCTATTCCAACGTTGAGTAACATTTGATAGTCATTCACATGTGGTATGAAACGTAACACTTGCTATGTTTTATTGCTGTTCACAGCTTTTGTACGTGCACAAGGTTATCATGCACGGTAATATTTTGTATTCTACTCCTTTCACTCGATTGCCGAATTTCTAAACATTTTACTCGGTGCTATCCAGAGCACTGCTATGGAACGAAGAGTATTTATTTACATTATTAACGGATCTCAGCGTTAATTCCTTTCTATCACCATTCTCGTAATACTGTCCTAGGCATATCTACACGTTCTTTACGCATCCCACTGCCATATCATTTTATTGCAGGTCCATTAATTACGGACTCACCATGTTATTCCCTTTTTACCGCCGTACAAATCGTTGTTGCAATCCGTTCTCCGTTTAAGCATTTTACCGTTCACACTCGTTTTGCCACCCTTTATGGCTGTTCTAAGAAACTTGGAGTGATTGATATATGTGCCTTATAAACTGTACAGCTGTGTTTTGGAGAGACTGAAACAGTAGATTTGTTGTAGAAGACTGTTAAGGACCGGTTTGTGCTTTCGTTTTAACCAAGGTCCTTAAGAAAGACTTATCATATTGCAGCAGCTTTCCGTTGATACTCCCCATCTTTGTTAGTCATATCCTTGATTGTGCTATAGCAATACTATCCACATGGAACACCGTTCCTCAACACTAATCCTAATCTTTGCTCTGTTCGTTGTTAAAATACAGTGCTTCCTTTACGATTCTGATTGTTGTTTGATTTTCTAATTTTTTCTCAAAACTCGTACGGTGCGGTATACTGCCATAATTCTGCATTGTTCAGGTTTGTTAATGTAAATTCGTTTATTGCCTGCAATTCTTACGGCACATATACCGGTCATTAAATGCTGTATCAGATCTTCTGACGTTGTTTAAAACCGTTTTTATTTTTTTTTGGCACGGTATGCCACGTAACCCGTCCGCAAGCAGATATGCATACCAGTTCATCTACGCGTGTAATATGTAAATATACGGTATCGAGAGACAGGATAATACGTTCAAATACGTAAAACAAGTTTTTACCACATCTTGCACAGCTTTGATGAGATCTAATTTATTTTCCATTTTGAACCACACTTTTTGGCAAATAATTTTATCCACAAAAAATGCGTGTGTACAGTTGCTAAGCCTGATATCTGTTCCAAACATCCTTCAACTTACCTTCCCAGCACCTTATCCAACAGCTCCTTCAATTTACCTTCCCACCACCTTATCCAACAGCTCCTTCAACTTACCTTCCCACCATCTTATCCAACAGCTCCTTCAATTTACCTTCCCACCACCTTATCCAACAGATCCTTCAATTTATTTCCCCCCATTTCTTCATCTCCGCTTAATTTATCAGCAATTTATTTTATCCATAAAACAAAAAAAATGCGCATTCCACTGTCAGAAAAAAATACGGGCACTAAACAATCACAGATGCACAAACAACACAAGCCATTAACAGACAAGCAGAGGGTGCTCAACTTCCTATGCGACGTTACCAACACAACGGGTGATCATTCGTTGAAATATGATTTGATGAAATGCGTAGAAACAATTGAGGGAAAAGAGAATGTTGAGTATGTGGAGTTGAAGGAGGCGTTGCGGGAGGCTCTAGAGGAGAACGAAAGACTGGAACAGGATAAAGTTAAGCTGATGTGTGAGAACGAGTATTTGAGAGATATGATGAATGAGAAGGGAGAGCACGCAATGAGATAAATTGTAATTATATGGGTGTTATTCAATGCGATTGTGCCACTTGCCAGTAAATCTATTTGTACATTTTAACACCGCTCTCCTCAAACGTGTTAATTTGCATGTTTGGGCATTCCCTGCACTTTTTATACGTTGCTCATCACTGGTAGAGCAGAGTCGAATCAGGTGAGATTTACAGCGTAGTATCTTTCCGCGCTCCAGCTCCAGAGATATTTAGGTTATCTAAAATGTGTGTTTTAGTATTCCTTGCCCTGTAAATTTGCCGGTCCAGTCATGGCCATTATCTTGTCTAAATTTACCACGCAGTTTTCGCGCTTTCCCTGCCCTTCTGCCATTTTAACGCAGATTGACCTCCTGTTGGTAATTTCTACAGGTAAACCAGGAATGTTTGGTCTTTATGAAATTTTCTTAACAAAAATTTGGTGGAGTGATGATGAACCTGTGTACGATAAATGTTCTAATTATAAGCATTAAACAAAGAATTCATCGTTTTTACCCCGTTCTATGCGCACGTACATCCTGAGGATGTGTAATCGCTTAAAAATGGTGATCAATCAACGACTTTTTTGTGGTATGTCTCATAGACACTCCCGTAGGTCATGAAATGAAAGAAAACTTTAAGGTTATTGTACCGCATATGATGATGAGAAGGTTCACGACACCATATGCTGTTGCTTTACGCCTCTTTCTTGTGCAATGGGTCCAAACTTACAGTTTCGCATCTTTTATCGTAGAAAGTGCTTTTCTCATCTCTCCGTACAACAGCGCCTAAGCAACGCACTTTTCCGGTACAGTATTGCGTGATGAAACCGAATTACAGTACAGTGGGAAATGCTGATAGATAGGTTGTTGTTATGGGCACACCTCAACTTCACACCAGCACTATCATATGTGCAATCAACGCCAAAAAAATCGTAGATTTTCCAATTTGGTACTTAACTGTACAAAATGGGAAGTTTGAGCCAATAACAGGATCAGAAAAGTTTGGTGTTAAACACGTTCATCACTATTTTTTGTATAACACCGACCACTATAGCGCCAAACATGACGGATTGGATAAAAAAATCACATCCATCTCAGATAATTTAAATAGAACGTATATACACGGGTTAATTTGTATCATACTACCATCCATTTTAACTTCGTAATTTTTGGTCTATCACCAGACCAAATCTAATCAAATTTTTTAGGTGTACGTACACGAACATGTGATTTACATTTTTCTTCGGATGCTTGATCGTCAGTGATGTCAAAAAATATCTTTATTTATGTTTTTGATTTATTTTGAAGTTTTGATTGCATTCTATGTGAGCAAAGGACAAAAATTACAGGTTTTTGAAATTATCTGTCGGCATTTATCGTCTCACAGCATGTTATAGGTCGGTAATACGATCATTCCACTCGTAGCGAACCAGCACGAATGGATATTCAGAAGTGTCTTTCCATCAACTTTGCTATAAAGTGACAGAATCGTCATAAAAACACAGCTTTTTGCCAAATACAGTTCAGCACGTAATAAAAGTCTTTTACGTTACCCGATAAAATTTCGTTTGTGCTCCCTAAAACTTATCTATATTTACCGATACTCGTCAAAAACTATTAGATGATATAATGCCACTCATTAAACAGCAAAATATGCTTTAGCACCGTTTTATTGCTGTACGTCTGTGTATATACCTTTATATTGAGCTCCTTCTTCCCATTCACTCGTGCTCTCACTAAATTGATTCATGTCACTAGATCCGCACAAATGTCAAAAATGTCACTCATATTGATGGTAGACCTATTCCAGTCACATCAACACTTTCCTTTTGATTGCGTCTTGCAGTCTTTATAAACCGTTTTGATGCGAATCATATGTCAATTCTCCATCTCATACTTTTTCTGCAGCTCATAGTGTCAGGTTCCCGTAAATCCCTGAAGCACAAAACAAGCAAATTCATCAAAATGGTACAGTATATCCATAACAATGTACAATCATCTATAAAAAACTGCGCGTGTTCTACATCACTGCATGACGATCGAGTGCAGGGACTTCTGCACATCTTGCACGCCAATAATCCATTTTATATTCAAAGGCCTATTGTAGCTTCAATTCTTAAACCTGAAATGGCATCGTACATGAGTACAATCAATAGCGACCAAAATTTTAGGAATATTTTTCGGGTTGGTCTGAATGTATACGCAGAATCATTTTGCTTGGTGTTGCCGATGATGAAAAATGCGTTGATGTTCGGCGCCAACTTCGATCAGGTATGCAGGGTAGGAAAAAACGGATATTTCATTGATGAGCTCGTTAATGAAATACAAACACAATGTACAAATATTAAAGAACATAGCAGTAGGTGGGATCTTGCAAAAATACTGAGGTACTATAATACCATGAAAAGATGTTATAATGAACTATTTACGGTTATGAATTGCTATATAGCGTTTTTAAATGCGAATAAAGATGTGCTGAAGGACCATATACTGGAATATCATGCATATGTATAACTGTATGTGACTTAGTTTGCTACACGATTGAGTACCAAATAAATGTTTTTTTTCTCATGTTTAAATCAAAAATATAGGCTAGAGACATCAATCAAGTAAAATAAGTTAGTAAATAAATTTAGATCGGTTGAAAGCAAAACGAGTGTCCAACAAAGGCGATTATTCGAGTTTGTATTGTGCGGTTTATGACTATTCTGCCACAGGGTATAAAACAGATTCTAAATTTAGGCGTTAAAAGGTGCTGAATAGATACGCAGAAAAACTATGGTCAAAATAATGGTTTGTTACGATTTGCAAAGGAAAGGTATTGGATAACTTACGGATAGATAAATGAACAATACGTGTTAGAAAACCAAATCGAATTGGTGCAAACACTTCTTCAACGAGCATGTCGAATGTTCTATGACTTTCAATGTTTTGTATACATTTTCTACTCATCGTTCTCTACTTCATTAGGCAAAACAGTCATATTACACATAATTATTATGAACTAATTCCTATTCTGAGCTTAAAAGAGACACTGCTGGTAGGTTTACTACAAAATTGCTAGCATATTACGCAATAAAATGTGACAAATGAATTTACCGCTAAGGTGAGTTTTACAGTCAATTATGAATTAATGATAGTTTACGCAATGTGTGCATACTTAATTGTTGTGAACGTTATATTTTGGGAAATATCAATGTCCTATAAAGTTATATCACGTAGCTATCTAAACTATTAAATGAAGTACGTCTTCTAAAGGTTTTATTTAGAATATGCCATCTATCTTATACTTGGATAGGTCCCTTTGTTCAATACTACCTTTGAATGTTTATTTATCTTCCTATGTAAAATATGCCTAAACAATGCATTTTTATAGTCTGCTGTGACAGATTATGGCTACAAATATTCGATTTATAGAGGCAACTAGCGCATTATCTCGCACAACATCTTCATGCACATCTTTATTACATTAAAAAGATATTTTGCAACCGCAATGCTGATCTTAATGTAAGCCGTGATTTATGCGACACTTCCTCTCATGAGCACTTTGAGGAATTTTTATTCTCAGATCTGCAGATAAATGTGATTCTCGATAACCTAACACCCAGTCAGGAAAGCGTATTCGATGCTCAACTTATTGTTATTATTCCCAGAAGAGATGCCATATTGTTTCTCTCTCATACTTTTCACAGAACGACCAATTTCTCCTGTCAATATCTGTCAGGCAATAGACAAATATGAATGTGCCAACATGCATTTATTAATGCAGCTCATCAATTGCCCGATTAACAGCAACAATTTTCTAGAACAATAAAGGTGAATTAATGAAATTAGCATGTCTAAAATTGCTTGTCACGTTTTATCGGTGCATGACAGCTAGACTATCTCACAACATACGGTACGAATTGCTTTCTTGAATGATATGTCATCCGTAGTATGTTCGAATAGATCACAATATCATACCAACTCTTACTTTTGGTAAATACTTCATTACTGTTAACATGACAGAGCAGTGATCTCAACACAAGCGGTTTTAAATCGCTTTACGAACCAACAAAGATCTTAATTGTTCAATATCAACAAATTTTCTGCAGCAATGGCGTTGATCATATGCAGGAGACACAATCCATTGTGTTTAGATTGATAGCATCATTCATGCTGTTGGCTCATATCGTTAATATGTTGTAGATTGCTTGAATACCATGAACAATGAGACCTGAGAATATTACAATCATAAAAGAGAAATGACCAGCACCAGAAGATCGAAAAATAACTTAACTTTTATTTATAAAGCTCGAAAATGGTTTGTTCTTCATTGCACTTATCTAACCACTCACATCGTTCCTTAAGAGATCTACATCTTGACGAAAAAAACTCACGGAGAATATGCGCCTCTTCTCTAGATATGTAGGAACTTTTATAACAGAACACAAGTACATCAAGCTGTTTGAACGTCTCAAAAATATTTTCGATCAAGTTATTTAGCTGATCTGGCGAAATTTCTGATAACTTTTGAATTTTTTCTAACCTTGTCCAAGAATCTGTTGGTGCTTCAAATATCACCAGTTTCTTAATACCTGCGAAAGCTTCAAAATATTGACACAACATAAGTTCGATTAGTTCTTCATAAGCTGAATCTATGCCAATATGAAGAGTGTGGAGTTTTAGATGCACCATATTCTTACTTTTCACCAAATTCCGTTTGTTCACATCAACTTTTGCAGGTTGGTGTTTACCATCATTTCGATTGGTGAGGCTATCAAATGATGACCGAATGAATCTACTGTTTGTAACAAATCTTTTCAGCTTGTTTAAACAGATTTTCACGGGTTTATATATACCATAATTTCGATTGGTGAGGCTATTAAATGACGACCGAATGGATCTACCGTCCACATAAAATTCTTTTAGCTTGTTCAAAGGTTCTATTGACCTTACCAGTTCACTAATGGTCAGCTTAGAATTAACAAAGAGTTTTTCTATTGGACCTTTTAAACTGCTTAGTTGTCTTCGTAAAAGTTCATACTTGACATCCCAACTTTTTACAAGAATTTCAAGATGTTTTAACATTTCCAGTTCAGTTATCATCTGCATGATTTCTTTATCTACACACCAGCAATTTATTCTCAGTGTTTCTAATTTTTTCATTTTTACTTCAATGGTGCTTTTATCCTTCAACTCCAAATCATTACCGCCAGCATCAATTTCTAGAATTTCAAGAGCAGCAAAGTCTAGGAGAAATATATCGAAAACTCTACAAACATTCCATGCTAGGTTAATACTAAAATAAATCAATATTAAATGCTTGAGTTTGCTTCGGTTAATTTCCTTTAAAAACTTAATAGCAATCTCTAAATCCCAAGTGTTAATTACTAAATATTCTAATCTAGCACCATAACACTGAGAAGACGAAAGCAGCTGTTCACAATATTTCTCGCCTAATGATAAATACTGTGGATCACTTACTATTTGGTCACTGAGTACAACACTCGCATATTTATCCATGTTTACCGTCAGATTGCATAGTTTTGTGCACTTATTTAGATTGATTTTGATTATTACACTTTTTGTATTAACCGGATAACATGGATAGTAAGAACTCCTCCAGCACTTACTGAAGCAGATAGTCTCATAAGACTTTGCAAAAGTTACCTTAAGTTCTTTCAATTGTTGCACAGTATCCTTGAAAATGAGAAAAACACATCCAGTAAACCATAGACTTTCTAGTGTCATATTACTCACTTTCTCTAAGAATTCATCCGTAACTAACATATGTTTCACTTTAAGTGTACGTAATCTTGGAATCGTTTCGAGACTAATAAAATCTTGCACTGTATTATAAGAGACACAGTCCCAACTTGCATATTCATGTGTCAAATTTAGAAGATATAAATCGGTAATGGAATCAAATTGTTGTATTGTGTCACCTAGATCGACATCAGATAAATTTCGTGAGGAACTGCGAACAACAACTGTCAAATACACACGGTCGAGTTCTTTAAAAACACCTTTCATCATCTCAATCTTCGTTTCATTAATAAAAACTTTCAATCCCTCCCTTGGCTCTACATTACCTTCCTGTTGAGCAGAAAAATACAAGCTGAACTTCTCTGCTTTGTAGACAAATTGTATTGCCTTTGAATACTCGTGATTGAATCTTTGCTCGTTCATGTACCTGTTGCATCTTTCTAGATCCTTACCCAGCGTTTGATAGTTTAGATCTTTGAGATATTTTACAATACGGGCACATCTTTTGTCCGATTCTTGCTTAGGTCCATCCAGTAAGTGTTCAACATCATACTCAAGTTCTTCCTCTGTATACACATATTCTGAACCGTCATCACCCTCTTCACTACCTGTGTTGGCAAATAACAATTGATGAATGAACAACAAGTTATTGAAAAAAATCATGGGATCCACAGAATTCTTTCCTTTTATAGTTTTAAATTTGCAAAAATGATAAGGAAATTCATTCTTATCGGCACGTGCTTTTTGTCCATCTCATATGGTTGTTGATCATGTGATTAGAGGAGAATGCCAGCATTAAATTATGAATTTTTTTTACACTAACAATAATGGTGCACACATTTTTACAAGTTTAGTGTGTTCTTTTCTTGTTTATGGCATCGATCACACAAAATAGACCTGTTCTTTTCATCAATCTGTTACATAAAATTATAAACTAGTTGTTTGTGTGAACGAAGTATTCATGGTCAACACACTGTCATTAATTGTGCGCACTTCTGTACGATATAAGAATATGATAATTGAAGAATAAAAGTATTGTTGAGTGATGAGTAAGTTGCTGTTAAACACATGTTTTGCTTTTGATCAGAAAGCTCATATTGTGATTGTGTCGGTCTACCTTACGAAGAGCTGAAAGCTACATTATAGTATGCAATTATCAATGCATTATCATAGTTATGTTGAGTGCAATGCATGTACACCAGTTATATTATATATGCTAGTAATACTGCATTTCTTTTCCTGTTATCATTTCCATTCCAGATGAATTTCTTATCATCAAATCAATTTGAACAAATATTGAACATAAATGTCATCAATGTTGGTCAACTATTGTTAATATAAAATGTCACCTGCATTTGACTTTCGAACGTTGTAACTACTTAAAGCACTGTTTGAAAGTATTTTTTTACAAGTTGCTGAACAAACCAGTTGTAATAATCAGTACTCGTCTTCTCTATGTTATTTTTGTACAATATTATAGTCACACAATGTGCTAGTATTCTCATGATAATCATGACATGATATTTTGTTGCCATTTCACAATCGATATTACGTGTTGTAGAGCCATGACACAATTGTTAATAACCCGATATTTAATTAGAAATATTCTGTTGTAACAATACATTTATATATGGTGATTGACTGGGAATGAGCGCTAATCACTGTGGTTTTGATGATCATATTGCATCTTTTTGACAGGTAATTAGAAAAATAATCAAAAAATTGTAAATGATGGTAATATAAAATAGGCCATTTTATGTAATTCACTACCTATTTATCTGCGGTCCACATGACCGTTTTGTTAATTTAGACATAATAGGTGATTAATTGCTAGCCAGACCAGTAGCAGCAGTGTGAAAGAAGCGTATCAGATGAGAATGAACCTATGTTTAGAATTTGATGTAACAAAAAATATTTTAATGACGAAATTATGTTGTAATCATAAATTTGGTATTGTTAGCGGTCTATATCGGCTTATCCGTTTTTGTTTTGTAGGAAAGTTTTGAATGAAAAAATTACAAAAATAACATAGGTTGCTGTATAATGGAGTTCAGGTAGATATTTTGATCGCATTTTATGTATTTATCCGTATATTCAGACAAACATACGTTAAATTTGCATGGTATTTTGCATATAATGGTACATTTTTCATTTATTTTTGGTGAACTCGGCACCTTAACAGGTAAATTCACGGTTTCGTTATTTTCTCTCATCAAGGTCATTTTCGCTTGGTAAATTAATCAAACTGCACTTTTTAACCCATCAAAAAATGACGGAATCAAGAGAATTTGACAAATCTGAGTACACAAAAGTGCCACTCAAGGAAATCAACAAGTCTCACATCTTACAAAAGATACACTCGTTCGGATGGGTGTACAACAGGCGCAATGCAGGACAGACAGGCTGTTTCATCAACATGTTCGCACAATATAAGATACTGAAATGTTTGTATCCGCACAAAATTGATGCTGATAACCTTACGAGATGGACATCCATGGATTTCTATGGCACTGTCAAGGAAAATTTTACCAAGGACGGTGCTGAGGTTGAGTTCCACATCGATCACTATGATGTAAGGAAAATTGCGCCATCTTTTCCTGTCAATAAGGACACGCAGGCATTTTCTTTGCTGGAAAATGGGCATTTGGCACTGAGGACACCCGAGCGCATATTTTTTTTGAAGGCGCGTTCGTACATGTTGCGGTGTTTCAGGGAATTTTTTTATGAAAGGGAATTCACGGAAATAACGCCGCCGACCCTCGTGCAAACACAGGTAGAGGGTGGTAGCACGCTGTTTAAGCTTGATTACTTTGGAAAGAAGGCGTTTTTAACACAGTCATCCCAGCTTTATCTTGAAACCGTAGTGCCTGTTGCTATGAAGGCATATTGCATGGTGTACAGCTACAGGGCTGAAAAGAGCAACACAACACGGCATTTGACAGAGTATACGCATGTGGAGGCTGAGTTGGCAGATATTTGCTTTGATGACCTGCTTAGCGTTATCGAGGACATGGTGTACACGGTGGTAACTGGTTTCTACGAAAAAATGAGGGAGGATATTTTGGAGCTGTGTCCCGATTACGAATTTTTTGAGTTCAAACGCCCTTTCAAACGTATAAGCTACAAAGATGCGATCAAATACTTCAACGACGCGGGGTACAAGAAAGATAACGGCCTTGAATTTGTTTTAGGTGATGACATACCCGATGCAGCAGAGGTATTTCTCGTAAAGTCATATGCCGACAACACTCCGCTTTTCCTGACCAACTTTGAAACAGCAGCCAAACCATTCTACATGAAAACTACGGATGATCCGAAGTACACTGAAAGCGCTGACTTGTTGTTCCCGAATATTGGAGAAATACTTGGTGGATCAATGAGGAAGGAGGAGTACCAGGAGTTGATTGATGGCTTTGAGCGCGAGGGTATTGATTCTAAGCCGTACTATTGGTACACAGACATGGCGAGATTTGGTCCGTGCACGCACGGTGGTTTCGGGCTTGGATTTGAAAGGTTGCTGGTCGGATTGATGAGATGGAAGAATGTTGCTAAGGGGTGTTTGTATCCCCGCTTTGTTACGCGGTGCCATCCATAGGTCTGTGTTGAATTGAGTAAACATTTTTATGGTATTATGTATTATGCATCGTTATTTTCTTTGTTAATTTATTCTCTTAGCACCTTTTATCGCTTGCAAAGACTTACTATCGCATTTACGGCATTTATCCTGAAGAACATTCTTTTTCAGTCATTATGGTGTCTTTTGTCTTAATCCTGGCCAAAATTGATTTTTATGATAATAATTTTTAGGTAAAGGACAATTATTAGAATTCTCAATCCATTACTGTTTCTCTTGCCGGTAGAAAATATTATTTTACATAATCAGATAAACCATTCATGACTTTGGCGGGTATGTATGAGATAATCCCAACTTGATTGTCTACTACTGAAATAGAAGCGTTTTCCTCGCGCCATACTGATTTTATCCTTGTAGTACGAGTTATATTAGTTGGCAGCTCATGACAAAACATTGGTAAATCATCACAACGTAATATAATAATTAAATACATAATAGACCATATTTGTAGCTGATGGACAAACTAAATCGCTACACTATTCACTGTGCAATCTCCAGCCTATGTTATTCGCCTGCTTTTATGATTTTTTTATCAAGGGACAGAGAAATTCAACGGTAATACAACAACTCGAAATTCTCTGAACATTAGAACAATAGCACCGCATGTCTCAATAATGGAACCTTAAACTTTGGAATAAACGCGTAAATTTTCTCCTCATACGATTATGGAAGTACACGGCCATAAAACATCATTAAATTAGTTCTCTGATTTTTAGAATCAAAGAGAACGCGCCATTAGCATTCAAAATATTGTAGTGACTCCGAGCAGGGTGTGCCGGACAGAAAGGATGCAGTAAAGACTTTTAAACTATGTTGAGTGCTTTTTGCGGGTAGATTGTCGTGCAGTGTCTCGTGTGAGCAATATTTATACGTATTGGCTAATATAATGCTTCATCCTGTATTATGGTTGGATTACTGTTATTTTGAGCTGAGATCGTTTGCTGCATAAAGTTCTATTTTATTGACAAGAAGTTCATCCATCAACCCGCTTTTGTTCCTTTTTGCTGATAGCCTATCAATTGAGAGGGAGTGACAGTTCCGCTGTGGGATTGCTGCTGCATCATTGTTTATTGTTACGTTCAGACAGGACCATAGTTTATTAAGGAATATGAAATTACGGGACAAACGAATGAATGTCATATTCTGTTGAGAAAATTGGCGTAGAAAGACCAAAAATAAGTTAACATACTTCTTACGTTGGGAATTTAGTGAAATCTGACAACAGAGGAATGATTTCCAGCAGGTATGTAACAGAAAGAAATATTAATTGGATTTGTACATTGAAAGAGAGCAACTTGCTCGATTATAACAACACATATGGCGCAAGTAATGACTAGTGTCTAATTAACGGGACCTCCACGTAGGCAAAACTTTATTAAAATACATTCAAAAAGTGTTTTAATGCTGTCCTCCAATGATGTAAACATCTCTCACGTGCCAATAATGCTATGAATTGCGACTTATTTGGTTTTTAAGTGGGATATTAAAATTTTTTAAAGTTTTCTGAGCAGTTTTACTGAAAAATCTTCATTTTCCGCCGATTCTCAGAACTTGTATGAATTGCGCTCCCATACCAAATATAAAACACACCATCATGGTAACCACTGCCTTATTATCCATATCTATACGTGTATCGAAATTGCGAAGGCTTGTTGAAAACACCTCCAACGAGTTCCATCCCAGATCAAAAGTGGTATCAATGCCGTAGGTAACCATCAACGATCCAATGAAACAGAACAGACCGGCTAACAGAAACTGTGGTATTTTTATGTACAGTAGCACAAGAACTATGAGAATTGCAGCGTATAAGAGGTAACGAACAATCGGCTCGTCGATTCCAGCTTTCTGCAACAACTTGATGTGAAATCCTTCTGTGTATGCTACCGCAACGGCGATGAACAGTACGATAAATGTGAGCGATTTTATGAACGAAATTATCAGTGCAGATACTATAAAAGACAACACGAGGATAAAAATGAGCAGCCGTAATTTGTTATCTTCAAGAAATTGCAGAACTTCCCTCGCTTTATCCTTGAACGAACCGGTCAGCTTGATCCCAAAAATATATCCTTCACCAAAATTCTCACTAATATACCAGAATACCTGCGTAAGGAACACCGAAGAAAGCACAGTAAGCGATATCCTCTTGAACGATATTCCCATGACCAGAATAAACAGCCCCACGATAACCGTAAGCGCTGCAAACCCACTAGAGGTGTTATCACCCACTCTTTTCTTGGTTTCCATCAAAATATCAGCAAGAATCGAAGCTCTGCAGCAGGCAAAGAAAATAAACATTGCGATGAGGGTGCCCCTCTTTTTGTAATTATAAAGCTAAAATCTGGATGATTGTTAAAAAAGGAAAAAATAAAATAACAATGTGTTGACACCCTCCTTTCAGCGTATGAATGACTTTCATCTCAACAAAAATTTTATTGGTCATAAAAAATTGATAGATGTGGCCACTTTCGGGTTATGATTTGATGGCATGATGGATGGTCAATTAAAATGCTGAATACCAAATTTTAATTTGTTTTGGGTGATATTATGATTAATTAAGATGCTAGTAAGCGGCTTGTTGTATGATGCGGTATTTTATTGAAAATTGGGCATAGAAGTGTTAATTTCATCTTCGATAACACGTAATTATAATAATACCCTTTTGGGATAACCACAAAACCAAAAAAAGAGGATAAATTTTACCAGAATTTAATGCAATTCCATGAATATTATCTGCTGCTTAAATACCAAGAGCAATTCATATATCATGTGGTAAACGTTATTTTTAGCAATTGCCGAGAAGTATTCAAAATTTTGTTTAATTTGCCTAAAAAGAATTTTACACGCAAAATACTTTTGACGTGATCGAGAGCTTTGACATCACGATCTACATAGGTAACAAACCGTTATTGGATGGTGCTCCTCATATAATTTGAGCTGTATACGTTTCAAATCGTCATTCAATAAATGATGCGATCGTTGGATAAGCGACTCTTACGTTACAATCTTTGGTAATGTTTTAAAATGTTTGCAAACATGTTGTGCTGCACAGCGTTATGGCCGAATTACCTAGATTGGATATATACATGTGCTTTGAGCACACGTTCATTCAATCGTTTTGTTTATTACAGAAGATGCATTCGAGGAGGTCGCTGTATATTGGTTTTCAACCAAGGAGTCAATCCAGGCATGCAAACCCGCAAACAGTTTTTTGTGGTTACGTGTCTATCGTAACACTGACATGAATGTCATTAATACCAAAAGATAGGAATATACCAGCCTGAGAGGATCTGATATGACCAGAAAATAATTAAAACTGCAAAATTGAATGGCCCATTAGTGTTCTCGAACACGTATCGTGATAATATGCATCTTAATGTTGCAATTCATACTTATGTATAGGTGAGCATGCATACGGTTGCACTTGTGGAGCATACGAATTTTCTACCAGACTAAAATTTAGTGACTCGCAAGACTTGCGATATCATTGGACATCAGATGATTGATAAGGTGCATCACTGCATAGTGTCCAAAAATGTGTTTATTATGCCAGTGTTTTGAAATATATCTGATCACGTTTATATCATTTATCGAACATGAAGTGGTAAAAGAGGTTTTTAGAAATTACTCAATGGGAAAGGGCCGAATAAGAATCGGGTGTAAGAAGCTAAATGGTGTGAATAATTTGATTTATATAGCTGATTTGGTTTGTAAACAGCCTTTAAAACTTCTTGGAACATCCTTAGGTAGGAATATCCACTGTGAAATAGAGAATAATCATAATCAAGCGAATGGTGATTATAATACATCACTTTAATGTCTATCACCTATCCAATATGCTGGTTGCTCGGCATGCAAACAACCATGATGGCTACACTATGGTTGATAGATCATTAAATTTTTTACTGTTTTGAATTATAAAAAGAAGTGCACGAATAAAATGTAGGAAGAGCTTGACCTGTTTTATATGTTAATGTGCATTAAGCGCTACGGTGTATGAAAATGATATTACACGAAGAACAAAAAATGTACCGGTTTGTATTTTGAAATGGTCTCTAGTGGTAATCATTGGTATTTTGTGATTTCTTCTATTGCAACGGTATAACGTGGAGACATGAAGAATTGCAACTAGGGCAATGACCGGTAATAACACATGGAAATTCCTAATTGAGCGAGAAATTGAGTATATACCATCGCAGAAGTTCGAATTCTTCATTGTAAAAAGAAAATTCAGTTAAAGGAAACTTAATGAGAAGTAGGCATGTGTCATAAAACGTAAGATAAAAGGTGATAACAGCTTTCATTCTCTCTTTTTGCTTTATGTTGATGGATGTAGTAGATGTGTTTGGCAGAGACAAGTTCGGTATAAATTATGCGGCTCTATATTGTGCAAACCAACGTGATATGCCCGAGTGCAGGAATCGTTAACTCATAACGGCTAGAGTTCGGATGTGAGATGATAACGAAACAGATCTAAGAAAACATAATGATCAGTATTGGATGACAACATGATTATATGCGGTATGACTTAAATCCATCGCAAAAGCTAATTCAGAACAAGAGATGACAGCAAATCATGGTAACCGGCTCTCCATTGGAACGAGCCCGTGAGTACTTAACGATTTGTTTTGAGGTATCATATGGTATGAAGTGAAATTCATGATGCTTCAAACCGTGCTTAACACGTAATCCACATATATTTCGTAATTTTTAGCAAAAGCAGAATGAATTATCGGATATTTAAAATCTTATTTTACTGTTTCATTTGGAAGGATGCTGTAAATTATCGTATGCCACATATCCGAACACATATTGAACGGTCATATTTGTTGTGCTCGATACGATTATTGCCCACAGAAAGTGGAAACAAGGCACTACCTATGATGCTTGTCATAGTTGTGTTTAGCGGATGGAATTTATTATTAACACCCGTATACCTGCTATAAGCATAAAACATCTACTTGTGATGTGGAATGTGTTTTTTGACTTACAACACTTGTTATTGCCATTGTTTCGATTTGTTTAAATAAAATGATTAATAACGAAATGAATCAAAGTACAAACCTCGAAACTGCTTAGTTTCAACTGATTAATCAAAATTACTATATTTGGTTTCATTGGTTATATACGTAGGAACGAGTTATTTTGTCATTGAGCTACTCATAACATAAACATTTAGAAACAAAAAATGTATCACACTTTCTATAAATGGGAATTATATTGTGTTTACGTTTTGAACTAGCATGCTGAGTTTATTTGCAATCGCAAAGATCTGTTGCGATTCTACAACCGATAATACTACAATAACTGCCTACAGTGCCGAAAATGTTGCTTTGCACCGCATGATAAACGACAAACTAAGTGATGGCCTTAGGCGTGTGTATAGCGACGAGGATGATGAAGCATGTGTTGTTAATACCAAAATACATATAAATGGCAGTTACAATTGTTCTGGTGGGTATTTTCGCGCACGAACTAACAAAAATATTGCCTGTGGCAGAAACCGTGTTGCGACTAACGGACTTGTAACCAGCAGGATGAATGCTCAACATCATAAGACAAACAAGCGAAAAGAGAATCTGGTAAAAGAAAGTCGAACAAATAATAGAAGCCGTGCAAATTGTATGGCAACAAACACTTCTTCGTATCACGCTGTGCATCCGCACTCATGTAATTCTCTTGGACAACCACCTATAAATAGATTTTTAGATGCATTTCATGAAATGACAATCCTTAGAATGCCCATAGTCCTGTATTTTATAATCCATGCACCGCCTTTTCTGCTATTATTCCTAATTTATCTGCTTACGCGGTCAGGCAAAAACTTTGATGATTACATTGTCGTCCGTAGTTTTGGCAAAATAGTAAAAAATTTCTCTATAGATGAATCATGTACGATTTGTCTATCAATTTTTGAGCGATGTGAAATAATTGAACTAAGGTGTGGGCACTTCTATCATCGAACATGTGTTGAGAAGTGGTTGAGAGGAAATGGCATTTGTCCGTTGTGTAGAACCGTTATGTTTTAAGTATACCATTACAAAGACAATTGATCTATCGATGACGCAATTGAGCTTTTGGCCTCAAAATGCGATTAAAATCGTGTTATGTATCATAAGATGACAAAAATTCAGCGCTGTTGCAGAGGATAGGTGAAAGACCGCAATCAGTAGAATGTTCTGTTTGCTATTGTCTAATAATTCCGATTTCATACGATATTAGATGACTTACTTACCGTTCCAGCTGAACTTCACAGTACTACTATACGATTTTTGCCATCTATACATATTTGTTAATTTCTGTGCTTAGTATTTTTTATTCAAACACAGTATGTATCACTGCTTGTGCGTTATTCGGTATAACTTTTATGTTTTCTATCTTCGGAATTTACTTTACTAACTACTAATATTTTTTTTAATAGCATCAATCTATCTTTGAAAAATAAAAAGACAACTCGGAAGCTGATTGGTCAGTTCTGTGGAAAAAATTATTTGACCCTTTGAGAAAAATAAAAAATTTTTGTTTCATGTATTTGCACTGAATGAAGAGTCTAAAGTTGTCGTACAACTCATTCTTTCTGAAACGCCCTCAATTTTTCTCCACTAACAACATCAAAATTACACAATCACCGAATAGTAGCTAATTAGTTCACTCCTATCATAAGATCCCGAACAATAGAAAAAACATAATACGAAATATGAAAAGAAGAAAGTATCAAAGAATGGATAGAGCATTTTTTCTGTTTTATAAACGGAAATAGCGCAGTTAGTCTATTTATAGAAATAGCCGGAATACACGTTTCGAAAGAATCAACCTGTTGGTGAAAAATTACTGTAAAAATAATTGTAAACTTTAAAAGTACTTCTAGTTGTGTTAAATGTATAGATAATTGGTGGTATGTTCTGAAGACACGTTAAAACTTGCCACTATTCAAAAATATGCGTAGAGGAACGTATAAATGTAAATAAAGTACAAAACTGAGTAATTTACAACCAATAATACTATTTATAAGCATTCAATTGCCGTATAGTTAACAGTATTAAATATTCGATTGTTTTTTAGAGATAAATACAGCAAATTTTCACAAAAAATGTTTGAGCTTAAAACATTAAACAAGCATTTAAGAACTTTTGTAAAAAATTTTTCTGGTAAAGCTTATTTATTAATCCGCTTAATGAGATAACTACTTTTCATGATCAAAAATTTTAGAATTTAAGCGTAGAACAATTCGAAATAACAATATCTTGATACTTAGACCCGATTTTAGTGAATTGAACGTTAATACTGTTGTATATGTAAGAGTTATTTACACCGATTATGCTCTTGTCTGGTACTCGTATATTCTTATTGGATACAATTTGATATTCCTTGAAACACTAATAAAAATTACTATAAATCAATTAAATAACTTGAATAATTATAGAAAAATTATTTGCAGCCGTAAACAACACGTTTTATGCTTGGTTGTCTAACCAATGACAGACTCTGTTGCAATGTATAGACTAATTGGGTTAATTAGTACGCATTATTTACTTGAAAAATATATGATTTTAATGTTTAAAAATAGTAATTTTAAATTATTCTCATGCGGTAAATTTTGAATAAAAGTATAAATAAATATCAAGAATTCTCTTCTGTAGAATTATGTCCCGCGTCATAAACTTTTTCATCATGATTTATCTGATATCTTTTATATTTGCATCAAGTTCAAAAAAAAAGGGAACTGATAATCGACTATGGAAAGCGATTCGTGGAAAAAAATATAATAATGGAAAGATTAGTAGTAGTCCACTATCGCAACAAACTTGTTTAGCTGCGAATAACTCAGATCCTAATCAGCAAAAAGCGGATTCCTTAGATGCAACGAATTCTGGTTTACCGACGCAGTCCAAGAAAACCCAGGAACATAAAGTATACACGGTAACTCCTTCAGATACGACGAAAGTAGGTGACAACACTTTTTTTCTCAAAAAGACAGACAAAGAACCAACCAATAACAACGAGAAAGATATGTCACAATCAGCGTCATTGAATTATGAGCAAGAACTGGTCCCACACTTGAGAAATCGCTATCGAGAGATCTGCGATGATAAAAAAGAGAATAGTCAAGAATCAGAACAGAACAATGGGCAAGAACTGGTCCCACATTTGAGAAATCGTTATCGAAAGACTAGCAATGATAAAAAAGAGAATAGTCAAGAATCAGAACAGAACAATGGGCAAAAACTAGTTCCAAATTCAGGACTCGTTCATCAAGAGGTCAGCGATGATAAAAAAGAGAATAGTCAAGAATCAAAACAGAACAATGAGCAAGAACTAGTTCATCAAGAGACTAGCGATGATAAAAAAGAGAATAGTCAAGAATCAGAACAGAACAATGGGCAAGAACTGGTCCCATATTTGAGAAATCGTTATCGAAAGACTAGCGATGATAAAAAAGAGAATAGTCAAGAATCAGAACAGAACAATGGGCAAAAACTAGTTCCAAATTCAGGACTAGTTCATCAAGAGACTAGCGATGATAAAGAAAAAGACAGTCAGGAGTCACAACAGAACAATGAGCAAGAACTAGTTCATCAAGAGACTAGCGATGATAAAAAAGAGAATAGTCAAGAATCAGAACAATCAGGTGAGTCTACTAATGAAACTGTTGATAGACTTGTTACTTCAACGAAGCAGGATGGCTACAGACTCAGTGGCAGGCTACCACATCCATACAAGATAAGTTTCAACAGACGTGTTTTATCTAATAGGATAGCTGCATTTCTACAGCTTATAAAACGGAGAAAAGATAGATTACCTACTAAATAAAATTTTTCTTCTTTTAAATGTGTCATGTTATATTTTTTCGTTTGTTAAGAATTTTTTAGTAGAGGCAAAAGAATAAATTTTCATTCTCTTCATGTGACTATAATATATTTATAAGGAATAGCCGGGCGCGCCGTCGACGAAACGTATTGAATAGCAGTTTATAATTTTTGGTTTTGAAAAAATGCAAAATAAAAATTTCTATCTTTCATGAAAGGTGAAATAGTTTATTTCTTGAACTGATCAATCATCTTTCGAGTTTTCATTTTATATTAACTGTACTATCCCGTTCTTCAAAAACTGATACATGAATGGATAGTAAATCAAAACAGTGCTTTTGAATATAACTGCAACATCAGGTCATTCCTTTCTACTAACTGTTCCATAGTTTCAAATCAATAAATCACTTTCATTCCAGTAGCTCATTGTATACAACATTTCTAGTGTATACTTTACTATCCTCATGCTTTTCTTGGTCTCCATTGTCAGCAACATACACCCTTTGACCATTTGCATGGCGCACTCTCGACAAAGCTACGTACAACTGACCATGCATAAAGACTGGGCTGTGCAGATAAACACCTACCTTGTCAAATGACTGACCCTGTGACTTGTGGATTGTCATCGCAAACGAAAGAAGAACAAGAAACTGTCTTCTCTTGAGTATGAATGGCAGCTGTGTCTCACTCGGCGCCATATCGATTCTTGGTATGACTGCCTTGTTAGATATCCACGAGCCGATTGCTGAACTCTTCCTAGTCTGCGGCTCTCATAATTCTCGATAAGATACTTTGCAATTCTTATTTAACTAATTAGTAAAATCATATTTCATGCCATCACGTTTCAAGTTATTTATGGCTTATTCTCATTTCGTATCCATGAAACCGGTAAAACTAATAAAGGTATGACGGAAAATAGCTTGGTCGGTTCTAAATATAATTGAAGCACTGTTTGATAGCAATATTTGCAGTCCAAACATACGCCATCGAATTGTTCCAGTTATTATGGATCATCAAATATAGGTGGTAGTGTCATATAACAATCCTACCAATAGCAAGCTTATTCAGTAAGAAATTCACATATAAAACAACTTGACTGCCTTTCATGACAGTTAATCTGAATTACGCGAATAAGGCATATAATTTTCCAGCTATATCGTAATTTCTGACTGAAACACATTACTTGAACTTGAAAGTTTTGAAGTATCCTATTATAAGGAGATCGTTGAATTATGGTATGTCGGATGTGTAATGATATTCGAATATGTATGTTATAATTCCACTACAATTTCATCTTGTTTCTTTGGGTAGTTCCCGTCAATTTAAAGTATATGTAAATGACCAAAATTCACAATTGATAGCATGCTGCTACCTTCGAGTCACTTAACACGTTCTGATACATCCTCAGGTGGATAAGTTGATTTAAAAAGGAATATCCAGTTTTATTTCTTAACCATAAATAGCTAATGAATGCGAAATCGGGTGAAAAACAGAGCAAAAGTCTACATGCACCATAACTTACCAAGCCATGGTATCAATTGAATAAATTACATGTGAAGCTAAAAACCATATGCGATGGAATAGACTTTGTATCTGGAATGTGGTGTTTTTAGGTGTAAACGTGTTATAAAGTGAAATATCAACGAAAAAATGTTGATGTATAAATGCACCAAAAATAAAATAAATCTCTTGGTGTTTTCACCGTATATTCGTCAATACAAACTGCTTCAAACATCTAAGATTTATTAAAAGCATATCAACCTGGATTCTCTTAAACCAAAAACTTTATGCGGTCAGTTTCGCTGTTTCTTTTGTAAATTAAAAATGCAAGCAATTTGAATGGATTTCCAGGCTATTCTCGGTATTTGGTTTGCCTCATAAGAACGATAATCCTTACTTGTGTAATCAAGTATAATGCGGTATAAAATTGTAAGTTATAATCGTAAAATTGTAGATCACATCACTAAGATAATAATATAGTTCTATATCATTTATTTCTTGCGGTAGATATTGTAGCTCATCTTTGGTAAGCGGTAAAATTTTATCCAGCAGCTATTAATATCTCCTGTTTGCCTATATTTTCGTTTCATATGATAGGTGATAAACCGGTTTTTCATTGAGATATAAATTGTGGCGGAGTAAGATGTACTGTTTAATCGCAGTGTCAGAAATTGCACTTTAAAATCATTTTTTATTGGTGGATTATTCAAGGTTAGTGTGTATCGATAGATGGCCCTCCACTGTTATAATATGTAGCGTATGATTTCGGTTCGTAATCATTGAAAAATAATCTTTTTACAGGCCTGTTACCATAGTAGCTCTGTTTAGACACAAATGGTAGTTAGATTTAGTTTAGCTTCGAAAGTTTTATGCATCAACCATAGGAAACATTTTTTACCTCGTAGTTAAAGATGATTTTTACACCGAATAGCTATTTCATCATACAAATATATAGTTTTATTTGAGGTTGCACGGTGAGATGTTTATTCATCGCGAAATACTTTAAACGGGGTGATTTTATCAGTCATATTGTATTTGATTTTACGGATTTATTCTAAATTGTACGAATATGATGTAATCGAATGCTGATAAGTTAAATATGCCGATATGTCATCTAAAAGGAAATTCCATTCAAATATACTTTTCGGGCAAATGCAAATATATAAGTATGCACGAGGCCAGACTTCCATGTTCAGGATATATAACATTCGTTTGTATTTCTTGATCATTTACTTGGTTACGGGCACTTTAGGAATGAATACCAACAGCGCAAGACAGGCCATTCCAAAAATACAGCGTTCTCTCCCCAAATTTTTCGCTAATCTTGATAAAATGAACCGTGATTTTATTAGTACTCGAAATTTTGTGCACGAATATGTGAATCACGCTTCACCAAAGGGATCAAAACTCATTGCACATACCAAAATTCCCTTTTCTATGCGCTTTCTACATCATCCATTGCTACAGAACAAATCTCATAATACATTCGGAATTTCTGATAGTATCCACAGGATGTGTCACTCCACATCTATGGAACAAAACGGGACTTCGAGATGTAACCATGTAGAAGATGACCGAATAGTGAACGATGGCTCTTCTTTCATCGATCTGCCATACGTTGAGAACGTTAATAATGGTGGTTTGGAGCAGACGATCAATGAATGCACAAATTATTCATCAGTTGAAGGAAACGATTTATGTGGTACGAAAAAACAGGAGTTGTGTTCATCATGTGTGGACGCACAAACAGAGTTAATTGCAGATCTTAAACAACATGGCAATCACACGGTTGAAGAACAAAATTTCGAGAAATATGGTCGAATCAACCCAAAAGAACAGGATACAGTTCCTCGATCAGCGGAAAAACTTGGCCATAACACAAAAATGGAGATACATACGGTGAGTGCTTCGAATAGTAATCACGAAACAAAAAATAGGAGAACACCCGTTAAAGCTCACAGTTCCTGCGCCTCAAACTTAGAAAGGCGCAGTGATGCGATCAACGCTCTTCTACACGGTTATTTTCAGGGAAATGCCATTGAAACGCATCCAGAATGTATTTTTTTGTTTAAAAATTCCGTGACAGATTCTACATCGTTTAAATACATGCCAAGAGAACAATGGCGTGAACTAACATGCAACCAGAGAAAGGTTGAAGGTCTCATATTAACAAACAGTTACCGTTTTCCTCCTGAACACCTTAAAAAACTGCAATCGTATTCCAACTTGGTCTATGAATACGTGTCTTTCATACCCTCCCTTTACGCTACTGCAACGTGGGGATATGTAAGACATGGCGTTACCATAGCATCATTTAACACGTTTCTCGTTAAAATGGTAGATCTTCTGAGAAACTTTACACCTGGTGATAATTCTACAGCAAAGATCGCTGACAGTGAAATCAAACAACTTGACGAAGTATGCCACGAATTAGCCGATCAACTGAAAAAATTGCAAGAATTTCACGAAAAGGTTAAATAAAAGATTCTTATGGCATTGTAATGAGGTAGTACGTACGCTAATTTATCGCGTCACGCTGTAACATTATGGTTTGCACACACAATCATCGGCGATGTTTCGGGAATTTATCATCATATACAATGGAGCATGCTGTACTAAAACCTTTAATATGTAAATTGTAAGGCGTTCTTGGTACCTTTAACAATAATGTACGGCGCAATGCACCTGGAGGACCACTCTTGTTAGAATGAACGATTGTGTTGTGGCGCTGCGTTCATGTTTTTGATTAAAGTTATTTATTCTCACGTTCCACACACAACAAACACCCACCATAAAACGGATAAGCCTTTTCTGGTCTTCTGGGACAGACACACGTTTATATCATTTGATCAATTTTTTTGAATCGGCTCAAACTATTTTGAGATATTTAAGCCGTTTGCACAGTAGCAAAAGTTACAGGTGCAGGTAACGATCGATCATCCGCAATAAAACGTATTAAAATCAAAGTTTCTGGCCAACCGATGAAAGCAAGAAAAATATTCTTAAGGCTGCTCTCAGAGGTGCAACATTTCGATCGCAATCATCGCCATAAAAATTTTTATCACATATTACACAATATATTGATCAAGAACGCTATATCTTGTAACATGGTTCTTTTTAGCTCTGCATTGGCGTGAAGTGGCTAATCCGTTGTACTACATACCTACTATTCCGTTGATATTGGTACTATGTTTTAATATTCTCCTTCATTTCCGGTGCAGGATCGAAGTTTAAAGCATAGCCAAGGATCAAATCGCTTATGAGGTTTATTTAATGAGAGAAAGATCGCCTAATCACCACCGAACACTTAGTCGTATTACACCTACCTATATCTGAATTGGGATTGCTTATTCATTTTTTAACAAATAAATAATACGAAAATGGCGAATTTCTAGAGAGGAAACATCAAACATATTTTCAAACATAACAGGTAACATTCAACAAACAGCACAAATTGGGTGCAGGTGTCAAACACTGCGAGAACATGTCCAATTCTACACAGAATAAAGCAAAACGTCACGCGTGGTTTGCAGACAAGTAGCACAACTGCTATAAAACGGCGGGCTGCGTCATTACTGCTCTAAATTACGCATATACAAAGTGCAGCGTATCGTTACCATGTTTTTTCCTAAATAGCAACAATTCCATGTCTTCTATCCAAGGAACACAAAAGCTGTGACATTTTCGCATCTTCGCAGTTACTTCGCAATTGGACAGCACATCAATTGCTCAATCACTTTTTATGGTCATTTTGGTATTCACAGTTTGAACAAAAGCCATCACATTTCTGAGTTCGTTGCAGCAATACATTCACTGCGCGATGTAAGTGCAATTCTCGTGCTATGACGAGAATTATCAAGTAAAAGATATTTTACGCTGCGGATAATATAAAATATTTTTTACTCACAGAACAAATGATCAAAGCGATGTCCTCATTTCAAGTATCCGCCATAACTCAGATAGAATGATGATAAACGATGTACAGTGATCAACGCGGTCGGCAGAAAAGGTGTTAATTACCTCAATCCACCACACTTACTTTAAATGCTGCAAAGTAATGAAAATTACCATCTTTTGCGTTGTAAAACACGAAACTACCATATTTGCCGAAAAGGAGAGTGATTAGGTAATTATGTAAACAAAAAATTGCGGCACAAAAACTACGCAGTCACAGTGGTTATGATCCGATACTTGCTATCTCTCTGGAACAGGCCTTAAAAACTGCAAATGACTTAGAACAGAGCAGCAGGCACTTAACAATACAGACCAACAAAAAAATGCATTTTACGGGGAATAAAACACGTATCACTCGGTCATAAACTCTGTTTGTACAGAAGCTGCTTATGCATTTCATTTATTTATCTTCTATTCTCCTTATTATATCACGTTGCTCCTCAACATACTCACCAATGACCCTCATCTGCCCAACCAAACACACTACCATTCCTTCCATATCGCTCATCGTATCGTCCAAAAGCTTCAAATCTTCAAAAAGAGTGTCGATACCCTCCATATGGGTATAAAAAAATTACTGCGAAAACGAGTGATAGAGTGGCGCAATTTCTACGTTGATTACAAGGAGTTGCGGGCGTGCAGAGATGACTTCAGCTTCAAAACACGGCTGCTTGACGAAATGACAAAGGTTAATGAATTTTATTTTGAGTTAGAAAGACAAGCGGTTGAAGGGAAGAGAAATCTTTTTGGAAGCAAAAAGATCTATGAGGAAATCAAAAAGGACAAGGAAAAGGATAAAAACAGGAAGGACAGGGACGGTTTTGATGATGGCTATGAAAATGAAGGTGAAGAAACAATGGATAAGGACGAGGATGATGCCGTGGACAATGATGGTATTGGAAAGGAAAAGAGTGCGGTGGAAAAAGTGGAAATTAGGAATGAGCTGTTAGATGGTTATGAAAGTGATGGAGAGGAGATGGAAATAGAAGAAATTAGAGAGGACAGAGTTTCGGTGAAGAAGGAGTTTAGTGGTAGCGAAAAGAAAAAGATGATCGGAGAGATTTGCCGAACGGAGCGTCTGGAAAAAGACGGTGCAAAAGATGGAGAAGCCACAAGTACTGGGAAAGAAACCGAGTGGAAGGTGTCGCGCAACAAAACAGCATCACAACGTAATGGATCAGCAGTGCGGCGTAACAAAAGTGCTTTGCTTAAAGTTAAACCGTTCACTCCCAAGACAAAACTAAAAAATAGACGGAACAAGCCGGGAAAACGCAAGCCCTCAGCATACAACGAAGTCAACCATGAGTACATAACGGAAGACCAGGAATTTGAAACATCGCATTCGCTGGAAGAGAATGAGGCCATACCCCGGACGAGGACATTCCTCAACCTCGGTCTTATAAAGCTGCATTACACTGTGCACAAGAAGAAAAGGGCGACCATGGAATTTATAAAGGTGCTTAACCAAATTGTGAACTACCAGCGAATCAACTACGATCTCCTTGACTACTGCATTGCCAAGAGAAGAACATCCCGTCGGATCAAGCGCAATGAATTGCTGCCGCTTATTAAGCAGTCGTATTTTTACCGTTCTAAAAGGGCAGCCGGGCTGCTGAAGGATGTGAAACGGCTGTATAAACTGCGATTTGTAAAGAATGACAAAAACGCAGGACGTCTGTTCAGGAGACTGAGGAGGAAAGACAAGCCAAAGATGGCATTCGTGTTTCTCAGTGGTGTGCTAATTGCCGTGAACGCCTTCTTCACGTATTTTAATGGGATAGTATGTAAGGAAGGGATGACAGCACTACTGCCGTTCCTGTGTAAAATACGTGGGCTGGCGAGCAGCAATGAAATCGGCACCTCGTCCGATCCTTACACCCCGCAGATCTTCTTTTCACTTATATTCGTAGGTTTTTACCTGTTTGGTGTTTCACTCCTCATTTTCACGAAAAAAGAGATCAACCATCCATTCATATTCTCGTTCAACCTTGACTCGCACATGGAGGTGTCGCGCTACTTCCTGTGCACCTCTGCCCTCCACCTCTTCTACAATGTCATTAACATCCTGCCAATCAATCCCAAGGTATCATTTGCCATTTCCATATTTGCTGTCATCGGGTGTGTTATGTTCCCGTTCGACATTTTCTACCGCAAAAGCCGCTACTACGTGGTTTACTGTCTCCTCAAGATTGCGTGTACGCCCATCTTTAAGGTGCGCTTCAGGCATTTCTTCTTCACCGATTACCTGCAATCCTTCTCGATTGTGTACCGGAGGGTGCTCGGATATTTCTTCACGCTTGGACCGATCAGTGTGTTTTTCATCAGCAATTGCGGGAATTTGGTGAGACTGATGCAATGTGGAAGGAGATACTACGACAGACCGGAGAAAGTTCACATCTACAATGCTGGCAAGTACTTCTTCCAAATATTTTTCAGCGTTTTAACGATTGTGTACGTAAACATGCTGAGCGCGCCGACCAAGAGCGATGAGAACTTGCTGGGTGATACAGGACATATCGAATACGAGAATACGTACGCCAGCACCAGTTTTATCTCGTCATTGAAGTACTTCAGGCTTATCGTCGGTCTTCTTTCGTCTTCATTCTCGTTTGTATGGGACATCCGCGTGGATTGGGGACTGGGCCGGAAGAACCTGCTTTTCTCCAAGACCGTGATATGCATTTTGATCGCTTTTAATCTTGTGGGCCGGTATCTTTGGCTGCTCTCCGCTTATTTGAGTGATTTTTTTCTGTGCTCGTACGAAGTCGTGAGAAGAACGAATTGGGGAATAGTGCGTGTTGAGTACGAGCATTTGAACAACTGCGATCAGCTCAAGACAACCAGCACGATCAAGTTGAGTGGTGACCTGTTCTACAGAAAGAATAAACGAGCGGGATACATGACTGAGCACGAGAGCACACATGATGAGAAAGAGGAGTCCATGGCGTAGTGAGCGTGTTGATGAAAGTGAATAGGTCGAGGCTTTAATTTGTGTTAATAAAATAGAAATATTTAATAGAAAATTAGGTTGCTTCCTTTAGGTATTCGTACTCGTATATGTGTGCTTCTATGCACTCCTGCCATTCCTTGAACATGTCTACACATCCCTGTGTCATTATTTCGCTGTATATCATTTTCGTTTTGATTATTTCTTTCTTTTTCTCGTTTACTTCCAAATTGCTGTGCCTATCGTACCGCTCGTTGTAATTGTGGAACACGGGCGTATCAAGGAAAAGCGGATGGGCAGGTGCCTTGGGGATGTTCAGCAAGCGCGGAGAAAATGCCAACGCAAAAATTTTTTGCACGATTTCCAACGCGGGAGCAGTGCCACGGTCTTTTCCATGATAATTGACGATGAGCAAAACAAATCCAATCATTTTTCTTATCTGGTGCATCATAAAGCTCTGCCCACTTATTTTTATCTCGTACCATTCGCTTGTGCCAGCCGCCTCTCTCACCTCAATGCTTTTTATCAACCGTGCGCTTCCTCTTTTATTGCTTACCAAGGTAAAATTGTGGTAATCCTTCGTTCCAACGTATAAATCAAAAATGCTTGAAAGCGTTTCCTTGTCCACTTTTAGCATGTGCTTCGGTACCAGGTAGTTGTAAATTCTGTAGTCCGTTCTGTTTTTCGGATTGAATGATTTTGGCACTCGCACCACATCGTACACGTGAATATGATGAGCGAGAGCCAATGATGTGTTGCTTATGCTGTTTTCTTTAGGGATGTCCATATTATCACCATTTCTCTCACCATTTCTCTCACCATTTCTCTCACCATTTCTCTCATCATTTCTCTCATCATTAACAACACCGATCGTACCGGCAGATAATCGATCAAACCGCCTAATAAACTCGTCATAACATCCCCGCTCCAAATTAACTACAATAACATTAAAAGCAGCGTGAACACCCTTGTCGGTGCGGCACGCCCTCTGCAAATGCATTTTCTTAGGATCCGTGCTGTTGATCCTTTTTATTAAATTCATCTCAACTAAACCGTTTATGAGTGTTTGTTCTATTGTCGGTACACCGGTTCTTTGGTATTGCAGACCATGGAAGGGCGTTCCGGTGTACGCTACGAGAATGGCCACTTTTGATTTCATAGGGGTAGGCGATTGGTTAGGAGGTATAAAGCGTTGTGCAATATCGGGAAGGCGGTCTGTTGGGATGTTGCTGATGCGTAAAGAGACAAACAAAACGTTGTGGATGAGAGGACCAGCAGTTGTACCACCGTGCATGGTTGTGAATAGTACCTTGGCACGGATTACAACAAAAAATGCTAAAATTACAAACAAACGGTTCGTACATCAAACTAAATTTACTCATCGCCTTGCTCTTCTTTGCTCTCGATGTGGCAAAGCACATCACCTCTCTAAAAACAACGCATATTCAGTTCCCACGATATTTCCAGTCTTTCCAACGGTAAAAATCTCAGCAAAAGCCAACGCAGTGAAAACGAGCCATTTTAGCGTTTTCCCCTCAAAATCGGTATTGATAAATCGTCTTAAATACCAAATATTCATCACATCAACCACATAGCACATACATCACACGCCATGATTACAACACGATTAGAATGTTGCGCCTGCTATTACCACCACATCTCGTGCCATCTCCTCAAAGCTAGCGTTCCAATCACCAACGATGAGTGTCCTTTCTCCTGCATACCTTCCGTGTGCACCAAGTCCTGCCAGAATGTACTCCCTTGGTGCTCAAAACTATGATTCTGCTCGTTGTATCCAGCAGCACACTTTGTTGCGATCCTGTCTGTGACAGGATCACACCACGATTAGGTGTAAATGCGGTATCCCTGCTCTTCGCACAACAAATTTTTGACTGCAGAACGGGCAAAGTGAAGAGCGCCGTACTCAGACCACATAAAAACACAGCGTTCAACACGAATTCATTCGATTTCTTCTTCAGCGAGAAAAGCAGCCGTCACATTAAAGGCACTTGGCAGCACTGCTTGAGCATAGCCCCCATTTTTACACATGCTCACGCTCCTTGTACCCCTAGAAAGCGCACTCTCTATGGACGTAGCCGTTGCCATCCCCTAACTTAACGGCATCCCTAACCACCCACGAATCGTTATCATCGTCCCATTCCACATCCATTTTCTCGTTACAAAGATTGCAAATCACCAATTTCTTACTGACAAACAGCTTGTGTTCCTCCTGTCTCGCGGGTGGCAGTTCTATTTTCTTGGACAACCAGTTATCCTCATTCGGAAAATACGTTCTACTTATCGTGTCCTTCTGCTGCTCCACCCTTTTTCTTCTGTTGTGTTCCTCCAAATGCGTGCCATAATGCGTCTTCCCCTCTTCAGTGTCTGTAAATCGCAAGGCACATAATCTGCACTGTATTCTCTGATAGAGAACGGCGAACTTATCGCCTTCATGGGTGTTCCGTCTCTCCTCTCTCATTTTACTCTTCGTTCTATCCTTCGCGTACTCGTCCCGCGAACCCCCGGTTGAATAGCCCCTGTTCGCAGCACCGCCCTCTCCATTTCTGTTTCTTGAACTGTCTCTGCCCGTATAACCCACAGATTCTCTGCTACCCTCTCGTCCCATGTCTTCCATCCTCTCCTTACCACCTTCCCTCACCTTCATTCTCTTGACGCCGTGGTCACTTCCCGTATCTTTTCCTATTTCCTCATATTCCCTGCCTTTCACCTCCATTTTTTCTCTTATTCCCTTGATATAGCACTCAACCAGCACATAGTTATTGTTTAGATACTCCTCCTTGCTCTTCAGCCCGTAAAAGAACAGCTCGGGCGGCACGACCAACTCCTTGCCCTCCAACGCCTCGCTCACTCTCGTACCCTCTCTTCCAAGTTGTCCCCAGTCATATCTGCACTCCGAAAAGCACTTCCTGTATTCTTCACTCTTTTCCACAAGACTTGCTACAAAATCGCACATCAAATCGCAATTCTCCGTTGTTAGAAGTGAAATGACCGTGTGCGCTATGTCTTTACGCTCGTCCGGAAACGAATCGGCGATGAGGATGAGTACGTTAACAAAAATTTTATTTTTTTTCGTGTAGGTGAGGAGAAGCTCGCAGAACTGGGTGGATGCTTCTGACATGAGGGGTTCAGGGAAAAGAAAATAAATGAGTGAATGGGAGAAAAAAGAATAAGGTGGTAAAATTGAATTGGGGGGTGCGAATTTGTTATTGGCGACACGAACGTACCAAGGAGTAGCACCAACCCGGTTTGGAAGGGCCCTTCACAGGAGTAATACGAATGGAAGGATCAATGTTCGTATATCGGTGATTAATTGTGGTGATGTGAGGAGCAACGGGCAATAAATTGAACAAATTTTTGAAATTTGGTTGCTCCCAACAACACGGCCTAATTTCTTATTTCTCTGAAAAGGATGTGTGATTGAACTACACCTGCCCATTCAAATTAATTGTTTTACCGGTTGTGTTTTTATCCACAACCTCACATTTTAACCCTTTCTAAATTTTAGCACCTCAGTACCTAAGATCATCAGATTTGGGTAAGAATTACGATGAGAACCACAGCTTGTTCTTCCATTCAGCTCAGTACCCATTCCTCTACCACATTATGTCCAAAAATCGCTGCTCAGCACTGCCCAACAATTTTTAATATGCCCCTTCGCAGTGCCTCATCACGCCATTTAAAAATTTTTTTCTGCTCACCCCTTCTATGCCCGCTATAACGATTCACAAGCATTTGTTCCTCTCTTCCCTCAGAAACACGTACACAGAAGCATCGCTGAACGATTTGCTCTTCACGTACGGCATTGAGCTGGAGGAAACCGTGGTGGAAAATGGCAGCGAATATTTAAAACTGGACATTCCGGCGAACCGTTACGATTTGCTGTGCCTGGAGGGCATGATAACCGCCATGCAATACTACGAGGCAAACAATCGCCCGAACTGGCCGGTCGTGAACGCATCTGATCACCAGGTAATTGTCGAGAACAGCATTGAAAGACCGGTTCTTAGCTGTGCGGTGGTGCGCAACATACAGTTTGATGATGAGAAGTTTCGCAGTTATATTAACTACCAGGACAGCCTGAACAGGAACATCGGACGAAATAGGAGATGCATGGCGATGGGCACGCACGACTACGACAAGATCAAGTTTCCGGTGTATTATAGGCGGGGAGAGAAAAAGAATTTGTGGATTACGCCTTTGAACGGCAGGGGGGTCAGTGAGGCAGTAAACGAAGGAGCGGCTGGGGGTGTGGAAGAGTCCGATGAACACGACTGCACCGCTGCACCCGTATATGACCAAAATGGTGAGATTGCAGAGCGGAACGCAATCTTTCCCAAGATAACCATCGAGGCACTTGAAAAGGCCATAAAGAAGAACCGGGTGCTTTCAAGGTACATCACACCGAGCACGACCACCTCATACTTCGTGGACAGCAACGATGTCATAATTTCTTACCCGCCCGTCCTTAACTCGGATGAAACTAAGATCAGCAGGGAAACGAAAAACGTGTTCATTGATATGACCGGGTATGACAGGGCCAAGATTGATGACACGATGAGGTATTTGATACACAACTTCGGTGGGGAAAGGATCGAAGAGGTGCACATCGTTTACAAGTGCAATGACGAGGAGGACCAGGGAGAGGACGGAGAGAAAGTGGCCGGCAGGGAGAGCGTGCCAAGCACGCTTATCACGCCATTGATGGACAAAAAGACGTATGTGCTCACGAAGGAGCAGGTGAACAAGGAGCTGAGGCTGAATCTTACAAAAGAAATGATAAAACATCATTTGGAGAGGATGATGCATCAGGTATCGCTCGAAGAGGTTGACATAAAGGTGGTTGTGCATCCTGCACGGTGTGATGTTATGCACAGCGCTGATCTGGTTGAGGACATAGCGGTGAGCTACAACATAAATAACTTTGATAGGCTGAACGTGCCGTTCTTCTGCATAGGTAAGGAGCTGATAGCAAATGTTTTAAGTGACAAGATCAGGGCAGAATGCGCTTTTGCAGGGTTCAACGAGGTTGTGAGTCTGTGCTTGCTGAGCAGAGAGGAGAACAACATCGTGAGGAGAAGGGGCGATTGTCCTAGCACGTGTGAGGGAGATGAAATGGTAGGACAGATCGGTGGCGGAGAGGGAATTGATGAGGAGAGCGAAGAACAGCACGATGCAGGTGAAACGGTGTCACCTCTGCTCAAGAGCAGGCCGGTCAAAGCCAAAATTGAGGTGCTCGACAAGGACAGCAACCTGCTCAACATCAATTTGTCTCGCCTTGCGCTTGAAAGAGAGAACGGAGGGAATGTTGAGCTACTCAATCCGAAGAGCAAGGAGTATCAGGTGATGCGCACCTCGTTAATACCTGGGCTGCTCAAGTTCATCAAGAAGAACGCGTATCACAAGCCGCCTATACGTATATTTGAGGTAGGTGAAGTGTTCAATATCAACGGTGAGAGCGACACGGGTGTGATCAATTGCAGGCGTATAGCGGGTGCTGTAGCCGGCACAACGGACGGTCTGTCCGATCTGATCGCGCTCATCAATCAGGTGCTCACGAAGTGCAAGGTGCACACACGCCTTGTCAAGAAGGAGAAAAGTCTGTTCCTGGAGAAGAGGGGCGGGCGTATTTTGTGCGATGACGATGTTATTATTGGTAATTTCGGGGTGGTGCATCCCAGGATATTGAAATTTTACGGGATTGGGTTGGTGTGCAGCATTTTTGAGATTGATTTGGACAATTTGCTGAAAATTATGGTGAGTAAGCGGTGATCTGCCATGGTGCGCTTAGGGTGTAGAATGATGCGCTTGAGGTGTGGAATGGTGCGCTTAGGGTGTGGAATGGTACGTAACTGTGATCTAAGCACACAGGAGATCAAATACCCAACTGTGCTGAATAAATTTGTTTTAAGTTACGGTGCTCTCTTCCGTTTTGTTCGCAGCATCAGCGCTTTCTCCTCGTTTACTCCCCGCAACACGGCGTACCGTACTGCTGCGGTTATCGCCCTCTACGACAGGATGCGTATGAAAGGTACGAACAAGCATATTTGTGTGCTTTGGCCAGGCATTTTCTGCTGATGTGGTGCCACCTTGTACGGTGAAAGCTTTTAATTAAATTTTGCACTTCTATGAGGAACTCCATAAATCTTTACAAGACCGGTCTCGTGATCATGATGCTGTAGCACACGGAGCGCACCAAAATTACCTGGGCGGAACACAGAAAGCGAGAAAAAAGAATAAAAATCGAACAACAAGCAAAAAGAAACAAATGTACTACTAAGAGGTGTGGTGTATCAGATTGCTGCTGAATGGCAGTTATTACGGACATAGGGATGCGTTTTAGAACCTTTGCTTGTTTCTCACCCCGTTCATACTTCACATTTCTTTAGATTAATTTTAACCTGATTAGTACCCGTTTTATATGAAAAACGTGACAAAGCGTTTAAACAGATGGGTTCCAACCCTGATGAGCATGTGCTTGGTGTTCAATCTATCTCTGGTGAAAAAGCACTTCTCTGCTAAATTACCATTTCCTCGTTCTATCTCAAGCCGCAGTTCTCGTCTTTCTTTGCCAAAAATACGTTTATCTACCTCCTCGTGCAACACACAGGCGTATTTATTCGCCCAAACCATTTTTACCACACGAACATATTTTTAACTAAAATCAGCCACACCTTTTTGGTGGGGGTTAAATAATTAATTTTACAGAACCGTGTTCAACACCGAATCGGTATTACACCACAATGCCGATCAAATTGCCCCCCTTATGTTCGACATTCTTTCCAGAAACTTTGATTTGGAGACACTGCCGCCGTTTGTTACGCGATACGCTCTCAATGAGGAGTACGATGATGGCAAAAATAGTGAAAAGGAAAAAAGAACCAAGAGCAGAACGTACGGCGAACGCAATGCTGAATGCGTAGATGATAGCAGCGCCGAAGCAGGTGGCAGCATTCATGGCACGGATAGCGATAAAAGTGCACCGTTGCCGTACAGAATGGTATCGGTGTGTCCAAACAAAACGTTAATCACCAGTTTGCTGAGGAATAGATCGTATGACCTGATAAACACGGTAATACGGACGAAAGAGGATATTTCAGCTGCGATAGACACGCACACAGACCTTATAACACTGCCAAGCAATATTTCAATTGATAAAGGACAGCTACAAAAAATACGTGAAAAGCGGATATATGTCAACATCCCCGTATTTACCAACATGTGCATGCTCAACACATTGAAAAGGTACACCGATACCGTGGTGCTATCGACATACGCACAGAATGCGTTCGAGCTTAGGAACGAAGACGAGTTTAGGTGGTTCCTGCGAGGAATGGGGATGAGTGAAAGAACGTGCAAAAGAATACGTGGAAATTGGCAGTACGTGATTAGGAGAAGCGTGGAGAGGAGGATGGATGGATGTGTGGGGTGTGATGATGGGCGGCTGATAGTTAAGGATTATCTAAATTTGTACGGATCGGTGTGAGTTGATGGGTGGTGGTGAATAATATTGGTAAAAAATTTGTGATTGGTAGTTTTTTATTTTTACCAGCGATGCGTTTATTTATGACCTGGCCCTGGGCCAATGAACACGGTTTACATTTCTTACCAGGACGGTTATCCGTACCTGCGTTCAAATTCGGCATGAAAAGCAGTGCAATGCCACCCCTCCACCCATAGAAACTCAGCACGGCACAGAAGCGTGTGGCAGCACGAACGATACGCATTTTCGAAGGTGCTGCAAATTCACCGTGTGAGCGTAGCACCACCGGCATAGAACGTTGGCAAAGAATTGGTGGCGGTTAAAGGATAATTAACATTTTGCACTGCTTTTCTGATAGTGCTCAATTCTTCAAACCTCTCTGCAACAATTTTAGTCCCTCAAAATCGAATAAATTAATTTTGCAATTTCTGATGGTGCTCAATTCTGCAAACCTCTCTGCAACAATTTTAGTCCCTCAAAATTGAATAAATTAATTTTGCAATTTCTGATGGTGCT